TTAACTCTTGAAAATCAGTGTGATGCTCACTGGTGAGTGACTGCTTACAAAATGAAGTTGCTAAAAGTTCTATTGAAATGTCGTGACCAGTGGAATGCATCAGGTCAGGCGTGAGGTCAAATAGTCACCGATAACACTGACTGGTGGTTGCGCCAAAATCACTAATTGGTAAGAGTTGAAATTCATGGGTTTGCCATTGGATAGGGTCCCAGCGGCTGAATGGTCTGCACACTTCATTTGAATATAGCGAGAACAACAGTGGTGGTTTGTGCAGAATAATATGGTACCATCATTTATTTCGTTGGCTTCTCATCAGCTCATCAGCTGCTTACAGCCTAAATAAATTTTGAGGTTTAAGTACAGAAAAGTTTTAACATACTTGTGAATTTTACATGTTGTCAGTTGACAGAAAGTTCCACAATTAGTAAATAGTGCTCAGAAAATTGCGCTTATATAGTTTTTACATGGGCAGTTCAAGTTAAAACAAAATAAATGTATGCAGAAAATGGTAAAGGAGTTACGTAATAAAGATGAGATGTGCGTTAGATGCATAGTGATTAACAAGTTAGGTAACAATGCACTGAGTTGAACTCAAATCATAGAAACAAGAGACAAGCAAAATTACAGATTATAAAAGGGAGGGTGAGGTTAAAGACAAACATTACGTAATCAGAAGAGAGAAAAAAAGACATCCAGTTACCAGCGCAAGGAAAACTAATAACTGCTTCTTTCTGAACACATAAATCTGGTTTCAAGCGTTTGATAGAAATTGCTTCGACAAACTTGAGAAGAATAGAGCCCCTTTGTTTATTGATAATTTTGAAGGATTTCTCGATTTCCACCTCATGACCCGTTTCGAGGAGATGTCTGGTAATAGCGCTGCTATAACAGTTTGTTCCCTTGAGACGTAGGCTTTTCGGCACATGTTCAGAAAATCGGAGGTGTGCCCTTCTTTCTGTTCTCCCAATGTAACTGCTCCCTCAGATACACGTAAATTTGTATACACAGTTAGAGTTAACATGAGAAGGGTATCTATCGACTTTTGACTGCACCAAAGATCATGTTGTTCGGTGGACGGAAACCAACTTAGCTGCAGGATAGACTCTGGCTAGTGACATCCTCAGTCTTCTGTTGACCATTTCTGCAATGTCTTCACCTTTAATTTCTAATTGAATGAAGACAGGCTTTTTTTTCAACTGTGATTTGTTTGGTATTTGAGCCTTCACATCTTCCATATTTCTTAATGAATCTTTGAGGATAGCTGTTGTTTTTCAGCACCTTTTCGAGATTCGTAAATTCTTCCTCTAGTTTCTCTGCAGAGCATTCATTTGCAATTAAAAGGCCTTAGGTTCGAAACCCCATAGATGGCTTTTGCCAATGAGTGTCACACTAGGAGGAAACAGCAGCTTTCCAGTACTCCCTGATAGGTTTTCAATGGTCCTCTAACCGATATCGATCCGTGGTCAAACTCAGGAAAACAAACCGAATCTCTACTAGCTAACTTTTGAAGATTTCAATATTGTCGAAATCAATTTTCTGACCTCATTTTATAGCATGTAGACCTATGGTTGACGATATTTTAAGCTTTTCTAGAAGTAATTCATTTCTGGGTGGTTGAATAGCGTCTCTGGGGTGTTTTTTTTTAACTTCTGATCGTGATTTCTCGAGAAGTTTGTCTGGTGTATATCACATCACACTCCAAGCATTTTATTTCAAAGACACCAACATATTGTGAATCCCTTGGAATTTAGTCTTTTACAAGGAAAAGATCGTCGTGTAGTGTGTCTGGTGTTTTGAAAAACATTCTGATGTTGTGCTTATTGGGTAGTCTTCTGATGTCATTTGATGTTTCTGGTATATGTATTGAATAACATCTATTGGGGTTTATGTCTTCGGAATACCTTTTTCGACCATGCTTACAATTGGCGTTGATATTGGTCATGAAATTCTTTGGATATTTATTTTTCTTGAGTATTTCAATAATATTTCATATTTCTTCTGCTTCTCTTTTTTCATCTGTTGTCATAGAATGTGCTCATCTAAGAAGACTTAAGACAACTGATCACTTAGCGTTGATGTGGTGTGATAATCCAAAGTTTAAATATTTGTTGGAATCTATTTTCTTCCCGAATTCAGACAAATTGAAATATCCATTTTCTTTCCTTTTTAATTAGGCTGTCTATAAAAAAAGGTAACTCACTGAAGTCTAAATTCACTTCCAAAGTGAATCGATGCTCTCTGATTTGTTTTTCGTAGTTATCTTCTAACTGATGTATTGCTTAGTGATACACAATTTAATTTTATAAGCTTTTATAAAATCTGCCAATGAACTAACTGACATCATTTAGGGAATTACTGGAATCCTAGGAGTAATGGTTAATTGTTTCAACCCCGCCTTGAGACTACTCATCACTACAGACGCACACATGAATCCACCGGTGATCGAACCTAGGAATCGGCAGAAGTTCGACGTGGTTGATGCTTGAATTCCATTCCAACGACCTGGCCTTGTAATCTGAAATCCCTGTGTGGTGACTCTCAGTGGGTAGGTTATGAGTGAGTAGTGCTGAAGAATCTCACACTAGGACGAAACAGCTATCCAGTACTCCCTGTTGTTTTAGCCGACATTATTAATTCGTCATCATACCTGAAATCAATCAAGTTCCTACAGATTGACACTTGAAAATTTTATAGGCTTCCGTTTCATTGTTATTCGCCTAAATTATTATTATTATTATTATTATTATTATTATTATTATTCAAACTCATACTCAAATAATCATTCAGTCTTTGTTCACTGAATCAACACCAAACATGTACAATCGAAATTGTCCCAAAAATATCCCGGATATGCATTTGGAGGCTGAGGGTGTTGACGTTAACAGGTAATACGATGTATACTAACGCAAGATCTAATACCCACAATTTCTACAGTATTCGTTCCGAGTAGACCAAAGGCAAAAAAAAAACACCAGAATTGATCGTCTAAATTACAAAGCATATTTCGAGATCAAATCGGAGTGCTAGGTTGACTGCTTAACTAGCTAGGGATCATGCACGAACGAACTAACGTAATATTGGGCTGAGAGCTGTCTGCTAACTAAAATTGGTAGACAGCGATTCACGTCAATGTTTACGTCCCAAATCTTGGTCATTAGAAAAAAACACGAACAAAGACTAACTTAACAACCAATCACAGCACACTGCGTGGGAGGATACGATTAGCAGATATATATATATATATAAGAAACGGTCACAAACAGATGACAGAATAACCTCCAGCAAGAAAACAACCAATCAGAAGACGGTGTTTCTCTGCTAATAATAACGAATAATAATGTACATAAAAATCTACAAATATCTGTTGATTTTCTTAATAAACGATGTTTCCTGGCCCTTGTATTCTGTCATTACAATACGACGGCGAGCCACATCGTGTGGATGCTTAGTCATGAGCCTTCAGCTAAACAAGTCGACTTAAACAGTGAGGGTCAGCATCCAGTGTTCATTGATGAATGCTGTGGCTAATAATTCTGGGGAATTACCTCTCGTTACAATGGAAAAAGCAATAAAATATAGGAAGGAGTAAGATAATAAAGAGAAATTAAGGAAGTTTCGTGCATCTTTTGACGCGATTATAAGAAATAAATTTTGCTCGAAACATAATCCATTTATTATTACTACATTGGATGTAAAATTATGTTCTACCACAGTGTCTAAATTCTGCTCTAACATTAGGAGATACTTATGACCCCAAGTGGGTGGGTTTCAAGTCGTGACCATCCAGTTACAAGGTAAACGTGTTGACCATTCCGCCGTTTAGCTGGAGTTCAATAAACGATAAATTCTAACAGTTATCAATTCACAAGATGGATTTCCTGGAATCGCACTGGAGATATCGTGACGAGTGGAGTCCACAATGTCTTGTGTGAATATAGAAACTCCTCAATAGCATTTCATCCCGGTGGCTTTGTGTATCACACTAAGTGACCTAAAGTTTGAAGTTCATAGATGGTTGGATCGCTATCCAACTATTGAAGATCCTGGGTTTAATCCCTGAAAAGACTCAAACTAGGACGAAACGGCTCTTCAATGCTGTTTTTTTCACAGTTTCCTAACTAGTATGTCAGGCGGTGAAAACACACCTAAATTTATCAGAGGTTCAATGTACAATAATATGTGCTATTTTTTCGAGTTAGACCATTAAAAGCCTTCAGGGAATAGTGGAAAGCTGTTTCCTCCTAGTTTGGGACTCATCGGCATTACGAACCCGCCACAGGGGTTTTGAACCCAGAACCTTCCAGTTATAAGACAATCTTGTAGACCATTCAGCCACTGAGACCCTATTTTAATGGCTAGCCCATGAATTTTAACTTCAACTAATTCGTGACTTTTAGCACGACCACCAACCGATGTCCTCGGTGGCAACTCGAAAACATAACTGAATTCTATACAAATCAACTCTTCAAAATTAATCTGATGCTCGTAGCAAGTCACTTGCTACAGGACGAATTTTCCTGGAGGTCTACTGAAAAATTCATGACCAGTAAGGTGCATCCAGTCGGGATTGAGGATACATTTCCTGCCGATGACACTGGTTGAAGGCGGCTCTGCAAATCACGAATTAATGGAGGTTAAAATTCACTGGCTGGCCACTGAATCGTGTTCCAGTGTCTCAATGGTCTACTAGCTTGCCTTGTAACCTTGGGGTTGAAGCCCATTGTGGTGGGCGCGTACTGCCGAGAATTCCTAAGACTAGGAGGACTCAGCTTTCCTATACACCAATAGTAGTTCCCCAGTGTTTCTCTAACTGGTATCTCAATCAATAGTCAAACCGGAGAAACAAATCAAATCGTTACAAATCAACACTCTTCAAAATATGTGCTATTTGTTTATACTGTCATTTTATAATTCAAGCTCAACAAATAAAAACAACAAACTTAGCAACAAAATAGTAACAAAAAAATAATAAACAAACAATGAAAAATAAAAGCATTATTTCAGTATTTCTTTAAAACTTGAAAAATATAAAATGTTGGATTATGAAATACAAGTCGAAAATTATGCAAACCATTATTAGTTGATGTTTTCCCAATGACTTTATTATTATTATTACTAGCACTATTTATTAGTATAGTACAGAAACGTCGACGAAAATATTTCGGTCTTTTAAGTCGACTTGCAAATTCTTTAGAAATTCTGTATGGTGTTTGTATTTTAGCCATATTAATGTTGTTGTTGTTGTTATGCTTGTTACCGTCGCCGTCACCGCTGCCAAGAAGCCAAGCATCAGGCCACTGAAATAAACAAATAAATAAAGGAAGAAAGAATAGTTTAATTGAATTTGAGATTTTCCCGTTGATTGACTGATTGGTTGGACCGAAGTGCTCGGTCTCAGGTTGACATGTCTGTCAGCTTCTTGTGCAGATGCTTCGTCGATGTCTGGGCATTTAATTAGTATACAATTGGTGGATGGTGACTAGCAGTGTGGAATCCAGGATTCACTTCGGTCCAATCAACCGATAGGAAAATCTAAACTTCAATTAAATAATTAATATGACCCGTTGTACAAAAGGTGGCCAGCTCTCGGAGCCCAAGTGGTCTAGTGGATAATCCGCTTTGGCGTTGGAAACTATGGCTACTGGGTTCGAGCCTTGGTGGGAACATCATCACTCACTGAGAAATGCAGGTACATCCAGCTGGCGGACGAGTCCCAAATAGGACGAAATGCTCCTTATCCTGGATTCCGCTGCTAGTCACCATCCACCAATTACAAGAAAGAATAATGTGTTACACAGAATGATGAGTATAACTTAAGGTTCAAATATTGAAGAAAATAAAAACAAACAAATAACGAAAATAACCTGGAATGTTTAAAAGTGAGTTAGTTCCCGAAGTTTTTGTGCAACACATGTCGAACAATCTGACCACACACACTGACTTCTCATTGGAATACATATACATACGACATAAATAAAGAGTTAAGCCGTGAGAAAATAGATACTTAGTTGAAGTTAACCGAAATATCGGCGGTCAAAATAACAATGAAGATCAATCACTAAACCAAATAACAGAGGTAATAGATAGTGTAGTGAGAGCTGGCTACTAGCCGAATCGGTAGACAGTAATTTACGTCAGTGTTTATGTCCCCAATATTGGTCGTGAATAAAATGAGAACAAAGGCTTTGCGTAGGCAGATACAGTTAACATATAGATGATCTGGCATTCAAGAAACAGCAGCCACAAAGAGGTGAAAGATTAACGTTCAGGGAGAAAATAACCAATCAGAAGACTGTGTTTTTCTGCTAACGATAATCTCTAATAATGTACATGAAAATCTATAAATATCTGTTGATTTCCTAAATAAACGATCCGTTGCCTGGCCCTCGTCTTCTGTTGTAACATTTAGTGTCACTGCCTACCGACAAATGGAAAGCCTATGCCGTGCAGTTTTTGATGGAGACAAATGGATCCTCGGGCAGGACTTCGAGACTGTTGCGCAGTTGAGTAGCGTTCAAGATCTGTCAAAGATGAGGCTGTTACTTGGGACGCTGCTGAGAGGTCAGGAGAAAGCAGTATATGAAAGTGTGAGGCGAAATACTGACGAATATGTGACAGGGTCAGGCAAACAGTTTCCAAAGTGGGAAGGACCAAATATGGTCACGTTGAGATGGGATTTCTCAGACACAATCGAAATGGTAAACGAAGAGAAACAAGTGAACATCAGCAAGCGCTGAGATACCCGACAACAAGACAAACGAACAAAGCCCCTAGAACCAAGAAGGCCGAACCAACTTCAGTCGCAAGTCTTTGACGGGGGGAAGAGCGTGGTGAGGACTGGCTGCAAGCCGAAATTGGTGGAAAATAGTTCACGTCAATGTTTACGTCCCCAAAATTGGTCGTGAGAAATATAAGAACAAAGACTGATTCAACAACTAACCACAGCAGACTTTGCGTGGGCGGATACAGTTAACATATAGATAATCTGACATTCAAGAAACAGCAGCCACAAAGAGATGCAAGGTTAACTTTCTGTGAGAAACAACCACCGATCAGAAGACTGTGTTTTTCTGCTAACGATAATCTATAATAATGTACATGAAAATGTACAAATATGTGTTGATTTCCTAAATAAACGATCTGTTGCCTGGCCCTTGTCTTCTGTCGTTACAGATGTGCTATTGTAACAACAGATGACAAGGGCCAGGCAACAGATCGTTTACTGAGAAAATCAAGAGGTATTTTCACGTACATTATTGTTAGCTGAGAAGCAACTTTTTCTGCTTGGTTGTTTTCTTATTGAAGGTTATTCTGTTATAACTTTGAGTCCGTTTCTTAGAAAGTTAAGTCACGTATCTACGAATCATATTTGTACACGTTAACTCCTCTGTGATTGGCTGGTGATTTTCTCAAGGTTAGTCTTTGTTATTGTTTTTCTCATGACCCTTATTTAGGATGTGAACACTGACGTAAATTGTTGTCTATAATTTTGGCTTGCAGCCAGCTTTCACCACAGTAGTACATATACCCTGGCTAGTGTCAAAACAAATTTTACCGAGAAAGGTTTTAATGTGATGACAAATTGTAGCTTTGAACGAATAAAGGTGGTTTAAACTTCTTAATTGCCAGCTAGGGTTTCCAAAAACTTTAGGATACGCCACAAACACGTTTTATAGATAGGTGTGAAAGATGTGTAAACACCTATTTTATGTCATGTTCTCATCATTAGTGGGTTCTGAAGATTCTATTTGCTTCTGGAGCCATTTAACAATATGCTCTGAAGCCAGCCCTTACTTTCAGAAATCGATGAGTCCTCCCTATGTATGTGTGGCTACATGTACATATAAACTGTTATATGCACTAGAGTGTGACACCGCTTTTTTCATGTTCAAAGGGCTTAGATGGATGGATATATTGGCTTCACATTCTAAATTATTATGATATTAGGCATTCACGGTAGCAATTCGTCATCACAGTAAACCTTCCTTCCTTGGTAAACTTTGTTTTGATACCAACCAGGGTAGATGTACTATTACCTCTGTTATTTGGTTTAGTGATTGATCTTCATTGTTATTTTCACCTTCAGTATGTCCTTTTAACTTGACCTGAGTGTCTATTCTCTCACCTCTTAGTCCTTTATTAATTTCATATATATGTATTCCTATAACAAGTCCGTGTGTGTGGGATCAGATTGTTCGAAATGTGTTGTGCAAATACACACACAATACACGATTTAGACAAATTACGTCTTCTTATTGCTTTGTCTAAATTCATAAATAGAACTAATTGTTTTAAATTCTGAAGTTTTATTTCACTTGGCTAACGTTTCGATATCACAATAGACATCACAGTCACTGCACCAATGTCTCACCTTCTTTGGGAAGCACTAATAGTGTGAAAATGTATGCACTTCTTTTACATTCCAAGAAGAATTATAAGATTTCAGGCTTTGAAATTTCAGTAGTGATGGTGTTCCTTTTAGGGGATGAGATTGCCAGACTCACTGTCGACTATCTGTCTGTCTTTCTTTTGGATTACTACTGGCTAAACGAAGTTTAAGAGAGCGTTGGATGGGAAGTGAACACCAGACCACATTTATGATTGGCGGATAATCCACTGTTCAACTTTCATTGCAACTGACAAGATATCGACGAAGTACGCACTGCATCTATCTTATCCTGCTCCTCAATGTGTTGTTATTGCTTTGATCGGATTTTTATTAGGCGGGAAATTCGTGTATCATTAGGAAAAAATAATCAGGGTCCGGGAATGTGTGTCAAACACTTTTTCCATACTATCTGCGTGGCTGGCCAGGATTCTACCGTTAATGTAAGGGTAGAACTTGGGCACACTGTGGTAGAATGTAATTCCATATTATTATTGTTGTTCCATTGGGTTCCGAGTGGAATATAGAGCTTCAACAACACATCTCCACTTTGTTCTATTCGGTGCTATCCTCCTCAGATGCATCCACAACTGACCAGAATCTCCATCTCCTCTTCCACCCCGCATGACTTCCTCCATGTCACCCTTGCACCGACGACTCACTAATCGCTTCTCATTAGTATTCCACTCCAGCAATGGCCTGCATTGAGCGCTATGTCATTAGACAGCCTCCTCAGTGTATGCCTGATGCATCCATCCCCATTTTCTTCCACATATATGTTGAGCAATCGGCTCTCTCATATTGGTTTGTTCCCGGCGGCCAGCCACAGTTTCTTGTTGTTAATTTCTCCTGGCCTGCTGGCGAGTGATCTTCAATATAGAGCCAGCCAGCAAAATCGATAGTTGTTGACGAAAGTCTGTTGTGGCCTGTTGGAAATACTTTTCGTGACACATGCCAACCATGTTTCTCACTCGTATAGAAGGACCGACTTGACATTGGTGTTGAATAGAATTCGAATCTTGTTCTTTATGCTGTGGAGTGCAGTGCAGATGATTTCGTCAAACTGGTTTCAGGTTGATGAAGGCATGCGTATCTTCCCTTACCAATCGTGTTTGACTTTGACATCTTATTTTAAATATCACACAGTGATGCAGTATTAGCAATTGTTGTTAATACCGCTTAAAATCCTGAGTATTTTTTAGACTTGTGTAATCTCTGGAACCATTTAGATCTCCTATATATTCATTATAATAAAGGCATTTTTTGTATTTCCCAATGAATGAAAAACAAAACGATGTGGAATGACAACTGTTGAAGAGCAGAGACGTCAGACGATATCAGAAGAGTGCTCAATCGGCTCGACATTAGAGTTTTCTTCAAAACATCGGACACACTTCAAAACAACCTTGTCCATATAAAAGACCAAATCCCGAAAGATTCTCTATCTATTTGTGTCTATAAAATAAAATGCTTGGAATGTGTTGCGATCTACATCGGACAAACATCTCGAGAAATCAAAATCAGAAGAACTGAACACCGTAGAGCATCTCTTCGAAATAGAAAACTTCAAAAATCATCAGCCGTAGGTCTACATGCTATAGAATCAGGCCACAAAATTGATTTTGACAATATTGAGATAACCCAGAAAAACTTCAGAAACCACAAAGAACGTCTAATATCAGAAGCACTTCATATCAAGTGGAACCCAAATCGCCTGAATAGGAATGATGGACTGAAACAGAATCTGACCTAGTTACAACACCTCCCTCCCCCAAGAAGTGACAAAATCAACGTGAATGTGATGAGCAGTTTCACTATGTAAACACACACTACTTTCATAATTCTACACACTAATAAAATCCAACAATCTACACTTGATTTTGTTATCTTTAACAATTCTCCAACTTGACAACCAAAATGGCCCCAGGCTAACGAACGATGATCAAGTTAGTAAACTTTATCTTGATATGATAACAGATATACTATTACCTATGATATTTGGTTTGAACGATCTCCATTGTTATTTTGACTTTCAGTATGTCCTTTTAACTTGACCTAAGTCTATTTTCTCACCTCTTAACTTTTTGCTACATATATATATATATATATATATCTATGCTGAGATTTTGCAAATTCCGGTTTAATAATACTTTGAGAAAGCTATTAGCATTAAATAGCGAAACGTCAGTAAAAACAATATCGTCTTGTTTTTCATTCATTGGGAAATACAAAAAACCTTTATTTTAATGAATATCATATCCCCAATGCCCCAATTTTTTCAAACCGTTAAAAGTGAACTTGGTTTGGACATATATAATCTCCTATATGATAGAGAAGATTTGTAGCTCAGGTGGATAATTTTGATGTGGTTTTGTTCTCTGAGCTGGATAGTTAGTTTGCGAACTAACTATCCAGCTCAGAGAACAAAACCACATCAAAAATAATCTCCTATATATATTGATCTGAACACTCCAAATCAAATTCAAAGCTTTCAAAGAAACAGGAGTTGCAGACGGACCACAAGCCAGTTTCAAATATTCGAAAACTGAAAGATCAGGCCACAAATAAGTATCTTCACTGATATCATAAGGAAAAATGGTGGAGACACAAATCGACACTGGCGAAGAGACCAGAGTTGAAAAACACAGAAACAACCTGAAAGCGATGTGGAGTTAAACCTGCATGGAAGTTCTAGGCAGGAAGAAGAAGAGATAGGACAAACAGTGGCTTACTACAGACACACGGAGACTAATGGAAGAAAGAAGGATGGTGAAAAAAAAGATTATTTAGTGCGTTGACGCGCAACAAAAACAGGAGTTGAATGCAAGCTACAATACACTGAACAAAAGTGGACTCCGAATGAGAAGCGGCGAGTTAGTTGGTTGTCAATGCGAGGGTGATATGGAGGAGAAGGTCATGTGAAGAGGAGATGAAAGCATGTGGGCAGACGTGGAGCCAGGTGAAAAAGTTCGCAGAGAACTGAACACAGAGCAGATGTACTGCTGAAGCCCTATTTTCTTCTAGGAATTAAAGGAAACAATAATAATTTATATTGATCTAATCACCATCAACGGGAGGGATTTGAAAGAGGTTACTTCATTCACTTCACTTATCTAGGGAGCATTGTCTCAACTACAGGAAGTTGCCACGGACGAGGATGTCAAATCGAGCGAGAATCGTTAAGGCGAGAAACACATTCACTCATCAACCTGAAACCAATCTGGAAATCTTCGTCACTCAGCCCAGCATCAACAACAAAATTCGGTCGGATTTTCAATACAAACAGCGTCAAGTCAGTCAGTTCTTCTATACGGATCAGAAACTCGGCGAGTGGGTCGCAAAGAATATTTCCAACAGCCTGTTGCAGACCTTTATCAACCAACAACTGTCTTAGATGGCTCTATACTGAAGATCAGATGGCCGGGCCGGGCCGGAAAGAACCACCAACAAGAAACTATGGGAACAAACAAACAAACAAAACAAGAACCAATCGCCCAACAACAACATATATGCAGGAGAAAGTGGAGATGGATTGGACACGCGCGGCTGCGGAGGCCGGTTGGTGACATCGCGCATCAGGCCACTGTTCGAGTGGAACCAGGCCGAAAGGGAAGCGGCAAGTGGGTCGTCGGTGCAAGGGGACATGGAGGAGATTGTGTGAAGGGGAGTTGAAACAGTATGGGCTAACATGGATACAGGTGAAAAGTACAACAGAAGACAGAATCAAGTGGAGACGTGCAGTTGGAGCCCTATGTTCCACTAGGAACTCAAAGGAACAATAATAATAATCCTTTTGAAATTCCTTCCAGTGTTGCGTAATATAATTTAAGTAATAGGTTGGAGTAGGTAGATGAGAGGCAGGGAAATGTAGTGAATATTATTATTAGTATTATTTTTGTTTTGTTTTTTTAAAAACTTTTAACTAACCTCATTATTTTCAAAATCAATTAAATCAGCTTCACGACATCCGGTACTTTTAGTAAAGCATATTGATGTTTCAATAATGAAATAATCAATTGAATAATTACGTAATATGCTGTATACTTCATCTAGTGATTTCCTTCCATAGATTTGATAGAGCTATAGAAAGAAATTTTTTAAATAGTATTAATAAAACAATATATATATATATATATATATATATTCTCGATGTAGTCTTTTCGATTCAGAAGCACCACACCGGCACCCTTGTCAGGGTGGGTTATAAGCAGATCATCGTTATCTCGGTGCCGCTTTTTTAGGTGGTTGCGGACTTTTGACTTTGTATTCAAGTATTTGGTGGCAGCAGCGGATGATTATTGACTTGAATCTCTGTAACTGGTCTTCAGAAGTTGGGATGAGATCGTTCATTCGGCTGATTAGATTTTCAAACTGGACTTGAGTATGAAGTTTGTCGGCGTGTTAAAGTTGATATCGCAGAATTTTAGGCCTAGAGTTAGGACTTCCATTTGCACATAGGTTACAGGTACTGAGGAATAGTTGAATACAAATTTTGTGGGTTAGTCAGGAAATTCGCCTTGAAGTTTCATCTGCTTAAGGCTGTTGTTGAGCTGGGTTACGGCAGATTGCGACCGTTTATCTGCAACTAAGTTTATATATATTCGGTGAATCTTTGACAGTTAAGAGATAACAAAGATCTGCTTATAACCCACCCCGACAAGGTTGCCGGTGTATTATTATTATTACTATTGTATCCTTTAGTTCCTAGAGGAACATAGGGCTTCAGCTGCGCACCTCCATTGCCTTCGGTTTTCTGACAACTTTTTCACCCTGCTCCAGGTCTGTCCACATGCTTTCATCTCCTCCTCGCATGACCTCCTCCAAGTCACCCCCTTGCACTGACGACCAACTCGCCGCCTCCCTTTCGGGTTCCACTCGAGGGCTTGTCTAGTGATGTCACTCACTTAATGGTTTCCTCAGCGTATGGCCAATCCATCTCCATTTCTTCCTGCCTATTTGTTTCACAGTCGGTTCCTGATTGGTTCGCTCCCAGAGATCCCTGTTGCTAATCTTTTCTGGCCATCTGATCTTGAGTATTGAGCGGAGACAGCTGTTAATGAAGGTTTGAAGTTTGTTTGAGATCCTCTTTATGACTCACCAAGTCTCTGATCCGTATAGTAGCACTGACTTCACATTGGAGTTGAAAATCCGGATGTTATTTTTGATGCTGAGTGATGTTGACCTCTACACAGATTTGAGAGTAATGAAAGCTTGTCTTGCTTTTCCGATTCTGGCTTTGATGTCCTCGTCAGTTCCGTCGGCCTGTAGTTGAGACGATGCTTCCCAGGTAGGTGAAGGAGGCTGTTTCTTTCAGGTTCTTCCCACTTATGCTGATTGTTGTCTGTTGTTGTTGTTGCTGTTGATGTTGGCTAGGAATCTTCATCATCTCTGTTTTATCTATGTTCACGTGAAGTCCTATCTTTGATGCTTCTTCTGCCAACTTGTTACTTTTCACTTGCATGTCTTCCAGACATATATCACCGGCGACGTTTAGATCCTCCAAGTCTTTTGTGTAAGTCCATTTTATGCCTGTTCCCTCGTTGGTTGCCGTTGTCTGTCGCATTATCCAATCAATTGCAATCAGGAAGATCATTGGTGATAGTAGACAGCCAGCTTGTCTCACTCCCGTCCTCACTTCGAAGGCTTCCGTAAGTTTCCCGTTGTGGATTACTTGGCATGCAGCATTGTCGTATAACTGTTGGGTGAGATGTATAATTGTCGATGGGACCCCGTAGTAGCGAAGTGTAGTGCTTCTGAATCGAAAAGACTACATCGAGAAAATGAACGATATACTGTCGAATGAAGATATATATATATATATGTATATATTTGTTAGATTTTGTCACAAAATATCTCATCAAAACATTATTTGATCAAAAAAGGATAAAAAATAGTTACAGAGAACATTTATTTCATGGAGGATCTCAATATGAACTGACATCAGCTAGAGAACCATTGGAAAACCTAGGAGTACTGGACAGCTGTTTCGTCCCAATTTGGGACTCGTCATCAGTACGCGCCCATCGAACCCATGATCCACTGGTTACACGGCGAGCTAGTTCGCAAACCATTAACCAGCCACACTGGGACCTGACTCAATGGCCAGCCAGTCCATGAATTCTAACTTCTACCAATTCATGACATAGCATGGCCACTTCGCAGTGTTTTCTTCGATGATGAGTTGCTGCCTCACCTTCATTCATTCTGTTATACCTTAATGGTCACGGCTTCCCATTAGAACCCCAGGTGACTGCCTGAATAGGACCCGTCACTAGTGGGCATCAGATTAATTTTCAAGTATTGGTTTTGTAGGGATTTTATGTTTGATTGCATGGAGGATTGCGTCATGAGGATTCATTGCTTTCAATCAGTTCTTCTTCAGGCTGTACAATTATAGATCGATTAATTTTTAGCACCCATTCAGCTGGGTGTTTGAAGTGAATACAGGAGTAAGACAAGTTGCCTCCCTATTATCACTGATGATATTCTTATTTGTGATGGGACTAGATTATACGTCAGACTGTGTACAGGGAGTGAGAAGACGTGTAAAAGATGGACCGATAAGAAGAATCTAGAAGATCTGGATTTCGCTTGTGGACGATCTATGTGTAATGTCACACAAACTCGAAGACTTACAGGCCCAAAAGCAACAAACTGGTAGAAGAATCTGGTAGTGAACACAGAAAAGACTTAGGTGATTAAGATTATCAATCATTCATTAACCTGGAACTAGTTTGGAAATCCTCTGTTTCACTCAGTATAAGCAACCAAGTCCGAATTTTCAACAGATGTGCAAAGTCGGTCAATCAGTCAGTCAGTCAGTCGCTTCTTCTGTACGCGTGAAGAACTTTCACTGTGTGTGTGTGACGAAAAAGACTTCCAACAGGTTACTGCAGACTTTTATCAACAGTTGCCTTCGCTAGTTCCATACTGAAGACTAAATGGCCAGAAAGAATTAGCAACAAGCAACTCTCGCTGAGAAAAAACCAACAGGCGACAGCCTATCGCTCATAAAATATGTCGGAGTTGGTTTGTAAGGATTAGATTTGTTTTTTAAGAGTTTGACTACGCACGGAGTGATATCGGTTAGAGAACCATTGAAAACTCACCAGAGAGTACTGGTTAGTCAGCTGTTTCATCCTACTTTGCGAATCATCGTCTGATGGGGTATTACCGTTCCCTTGGGTTTCGAGTAGAATATAAATAAATACTCAACAGCACTTCTCAGGTTTCTTCATATTCGGTGCTTCCCCCTTCATCTGGATCCACAGTTGTCCATAGTCTCCCATCTCTTCCTCCCCCTCCTCTTTGCACTATCTTCTGCATGTCAACCTTGCACTAAAAATCCACTGGTCGCCTCCTATTGAGATTTCGCCCCAACAATGGCCTGCATTGAGAGCAATGTCATTCGACAGCCTCCTTAGTGTCTGCCCGATCCATCCACCTCCATTTTCTCGGAAATATTCATTGAGCGATCGGCTCCTGGTTGGTTTATATTCGCAACCAGAGTTTTTTTGTTGATAATATGAGAGATGATAACCGAACAAAAACGAAAACAGGTAAGTCATTCCATATTAGTTTGTTTATATTAGATGTATCTATCACACAGTGAGGGAAACAGTATTACTGTTTACTGGATGACGAGGTTGCCAACACACCTGATTATTGTTCATAATCATAACATCAATTAGAACCACACGACTTCAAAACTTGAGTTTTGTAGTTTTCTTTGTTCTATCCTATTTGTCGTCGTTGGCGTGGTAGTAGAATTTTCCAGATGGTGTCTTGGGTGGACAGGTGTTGAATCATTCCCATTACACGTGTTGATTTGCAGTTGATTCGATAAACAAAGCTTCCGCTGTCATCAATATCTCCTTCCATTCACCCTATGACATTAGATTTTAAAACTGTCATCCTATCCCATCCAGCCTATTGTATGATTGTGTCTGATTCTATGTAGAGCGTAGTGTAGCTGAACTATTCTCTAGATTTCCTATTTTATTCGGGTCAATCAATCTAGATTTTGCTGCTAGGTTTTTATGCTCCATTAGTCTGACTGACGCCATTCTACTACTCTTACCTATGTATCTAACCTGACAATCATTGCAGTCAGGCAGGGTATAAGATAAACTAAATTGTTTTCTTTTAAAGGCTCCACAGGATTGATCCTTTAACCGGCTAAGCTTGTTTCTAATTGAGTTTGTGGGCAGCTCGAATGGCACTTCTATTTTCTGCCTTGTTAAGAATTCTGCGTAAGGTGGTTTCCGAGGTTCCTTCCTTGCATGGAATTACTACTGATGATTGAGATTCCTTATTGTTGGCGTTGTCATTATCTTACGCAGGTTTGACTTGCATGTCGTTATTATTATTATTATCACTATCACTACTAACATAGTGATAACTGGAACATAGAACTTAAAGCTTAAGTCTCAAGTTTCAGTAGTTGTGATAGTTGCAGTGAGATCGTTGTCTTCACCCCCAACCTATCCTCTTTCCCTAGAATACTGTCGGATAGATAAACCTGTGCAAGGTTTACTTACTTACGAGTGCACCAGCCGGAAATCAAACCTTATTGCTTTGTTGATGAGCATTCTACCCTCGATCCATCGATGCACATGTTAACTTCATATACGACTGTAGTTCAACGGCGATATACCAAGTGAGATAATTACGAGGAAATTAAGAAAATCACTTCAAAGAATTTTTAATGCTGGCGAACTGCACATCTTATTATCTACACGACTGATGGTGCTACCTCGACTGAAAGATGAAGTACCTAGACTAGACTAGCCACTTCCAATTGTATCTACCAATTCAACTGCGCTTGTTGTGGAGCGAGTTATACTGACCGTTGCTCTAGAAACTTGATTTCTCGTGCTCCACAACATCTCCCAAGATGGCGAAGTAAAGGTGTAGTAAAAACCATCAACAGTTCGATATTAGACCATCTGGTGCAATCCGCCCACAAAGAGAGCGCGGAAGAATCCCTCTCTATAATCTACCACGTGCCTAATAAACTGCCAAAATCATCGAAACACCGCATGCTACAAACAGCAGAGGCTATTGCAATTCGCCTGAAACAACCAGTGCTCTGTGTGCAAAAGAAGCAAGTCCAGCCAGACACTACTACTGCTCTGGCTGGCCTTCAGTAGAGACTATAAATTCATGAATTTGTTACAGGATTTTCATCATGAGCTGACATTAGTTAGAGAACCATTGGAAAACCTAGGAGTACTGGACAGCTGTTTCGTCCCAGTTTGGGACTCTTCGGCAGTACGCACCCACCGCCACGGTTCGAAGCCAGGACCTTCTGGTTACAAGGCGAGCTTCAACACCTGAATATCAATGAGATGCTCACTAGCGACTGGCCCTATTCAGGTAGGTAGTTACCTGGGATTCTAGTGAGAAGTCATGACCAGTGGGGTGCAGCAGGTCGGGTGTGAGGACAAATACTTGCCGAAGACATTGGCTGGGACCGCGCTATGTCGTGAATTGGCAGAAGTTAGAATCCGTGGGCCATTGGATCGGGTCCCAGTGGCTGCTTAATGGTCTACGAGCTAGCTCGCCTTGTAACCAGAAGGTCCTGGCTTCGAACCGTGGCGGTGGGTGCGTACTGCCGAAGAGTCCCAAACTAGTTGGACGAAACAGCTGTCCAGTACTCCCTGCAGATTTTCCAATGGTTCTCTAACTAATGTCAGCTCATGATGAAAATCCTGTTACCAATCAAATCCCTACAAACTAACATTTGAATATCATGAATTTGTATTATTATCTTTCCTAATTATTCTGACATTCAGTGTGTATTTTTATGTTGATGCTATTGAACTGTAATCTATCAATATTATTATTGATTCGATGTTATTTAGACATCAACATTAATGTTATTCATAACACTAATTTATTCACTAAAATGTGTGTATAATTGTAGAACCTGATGATGAAGGGGTTATCGAAAAGAGTACTCTTTGTTCAGTATCCATTCTTTTGAAAGTAATATCCAGTGATAAGTGGAGATGTGGTTCGTTAGACTTAGGACTTGACTTTCAGTCAATGGGTCCACATACACAACTACCGTCTACTTCACCTTGGGAAATTGATTAGTATCATCATCCATCTCAGAAAAAGTGTAGTTCACAGCCTGGTACTGGATAACTTTAGCTAATTTCGACCAATAATAAAATCGTACTATAAGGATTAATTTGACTACTCAGAAACTTTTATTTTATAGAAAGCATTATATGTTGAAACAAGTAGACTGATTATCTCTGCGCTATACCTACTGAGTGTTGTTGTTGTTGTTGAAAATTAACACGCACACACACACACACTTCAAACTCTACAGTTATAATGGTTAGGATTACGGATATTATTTTACTCACACTATAAAGAAATTTATATGGAACAGAAAGCATAAAGCTGGCATACTTGACTCTCAGTCATTGGGTCACTACAGGGTTAGAATCCGGCTTCACCGACTACGGTCTGGGCATACAGTCGGCATCAGTAGGTGTAACTTATTGCCAACAGTTAGATGGTTGAAGACAATCAGTAAAAAGCTCTACCTTACCTAGGTTTATTGGCGTCTCTGAAACTTTCACGAGGCTTACGTCGGCTCTGACGTTCGAACCCACATCACTCAGTGCTGTAGTCAGAGAAGTTACCAGTGAGTTATTTCGGCTCACGTTTGACCACCTGTAGGACAGTAATGAAATGACCGATATCATGCGTCTAATCTTTATTGGTGCTGATACATGCTGAATTCTACCAGTCATGTCACGTCTCTGATTATGGCAACTCGCAACGTGGATTCGAATCTCAGAAAAGGGACATGAGTTCCTTCAGGACTGAAGACACACCTTACTGATAAGTGCTAAACTTAACCCTAACTCACTTCAGAGACTCAGTGATTGACTTGCTACCATGGAATAATCTCACTGACTTAGAATATGCAGACGATATAGTCCTTTCAGGCGATGACGCTGACAAAATGTAGAGTCTTCTAAACACCTTGAGCTGCAATCTACGAATGTTTGGCATGTGATCAGCTCCCGCCAAATGCAAGATGATGGTGCAGGACTGGACCGCACTGACTCCTAGTTTAGAAACTGGGAGTGAAGTGGTTGATGGAGCACGTTGACAGCTTCACTTATTTGGGAAGTACCATCAGCCCCAACGCCAACGGGTTGATCTCTGACGAAATCTCAGCACGTATACAGAGGGCTAGTTTCGCACGTGCCAGTTTACGCTGTCTCTGGCCTAGACGTGATATCTGACTGGCTATTCACCAAAGGATGCGTGTACTGCTCATCAGTCCGCTGAGTCCTTTATGCCTGTGAGTGAGACCTGGCCATTGAGAGTGGAAGACATGAAAACATTAGCTGGCTGTCTTTGATCATAGGTGTCCGCGTTCTATCTCTATCTCCTGTGTTAAGTAGTATGATAAGGTGAGTAATATTGAGGTTAGGCATCGGTCGAGTGCTAGGTAAGGAGGGAAAATCAATCGACGAGGCTGTTAAATTACAACGACTGAGATGGTTAGGACATGTGTTACGTATGCCTAGCCTAGTCATCGCCTTCCTCGACCGAAGGACAATGTTAGCTGACATAGTTTTGGTCAGCTAGCTGGAAAAGAGCTAGTGGCGGTCAAACCAAAACATGACTTCACCTGTCAATGAAGTCCACAACAGTTAGTCTAAGCCACGTAGGAAGGTGTAGACTTCCTGACTGACTGGTTGGGGTCCTCGAGACGGTAAAAACAATTGGTTATATGGCTCAAAATCGTTCTCAATGACTGGCGAAGATGCATCCACTCCCCTTGTGACTTATGATTTCCAATGAAACTATATTGTTCTTCGTTATTACTATTCCTTTGTCTCACACCTCTGTTTACTGTCTCTATTATGCATTTCTTCTACTTTCTTCTCTTGCTTTGTGTACTACAAGGAGTGGAGTGTGGCGACTCGAACTGTCGCACATATGTGCAAAGTTCTATGTCGGAAACAGACAGACAGGCAGAAACTAAGTATGAAATCTAGGCCAGTCAGAACTACCTGATAATTACCTCCAAATATCAAGCGGAGATGGAGTTTACGAAGATAACCAATCAACAGCAATAACAACCAACGCCAATCACTATCAACGGAAGACATTTAAAATAGGTCACTTACTTCACTTATCTTGCTGAGCAGCATCATTTTCACTACAATCGACTTTTTTTTTATTTACAGCTTGATTCCACACTGTATTTTCGGTACAAGTATGGAATTTTCAGCATGGATATCGGTAGCCCAAATTTTGCAGGCCGACCATAGATTGCAGATGTGCGTCGGTGCGGGTTCGAACCCCGGACCATGTGCATGGTCGGCGGGAGTCCTAACCACTGTGCCACCGACGCACTGACTTCATGGATGAAGGTATCAAAACCAGAATCGGAAAGGCAAGACGAACTTTTCTCACTCTAAAATCAATCTAGAAATCTACCGCCCTCAGAATCAAGAACAAAATCCCGATTTTCAACACCAATCTTAAGTTAGTCAGTCAGTTCTTCTACAAGAGTCAGAAACTTAGTGTGTGTGTGTGTGTGTGTCGCGGAAAGCATTTCTGACAGGCTACTAGAGACTTTTATCAACACCTCCCACCTTTCTATAATGAAGATCAGATGGTCAAAAAGGAAAAACAACAATAAACTCTGAAAACAAATCAATCAAGAAGCTAATGGTCAAGAAATATTCCGAAGAAAACAGAGATGAATTCGATATGCACACTGAAGAGACCACTGAGTGACATCAAGCACCAGCCCGGCACTCATGTGGAAACCAAATGGGAGACGACAAGTTGGCAGTTGCCCATGAGGCTAGTCTGAAGGTGATCATGTAATGAGGAAGACATGTAAGCTTATGGGTAATTCTGGCGCCAGCTACAAAGGCACTGCAGAGGGTAGAAAAGACTGAAATAGAGATGTTCCACTCAGAACCCAAGGATGATGAATTCAACTTACCTGTTTTGTTCGTCTCCGTAGTTCAGCGTTTTCATAATGTGGATGATTAGCTATTGGTCGAGATGTACAACATTTTATTGCTGCCATTAATTGCATACTACCTGTGAATATACTTCGATTGTTTAGATTACTTCTAAAAATATATATATGAGAACAGAAAAACCACATGAGGAAGAAAATTTTAGATAGGCGTATATATATAAATTCAAATATATTGACAGCGACACCAAAATGTAACGACAAAAGACAAAGGCCAGGCAACAGATCGTTCATTGAGAAAATTATGAGATCAGAATAATCTGCTTTCCAATGCCCCAGGCAGATATTAATTTACAAATTTATAGTAATTTGTCTTGGCAACAAAAGGAATATTTCCAAAGATGTGTTAATGCAATTGTTAGTTTTTTACAAACAAATTACGTAATTTTGAAGGCGTTAATCGGTTAGAAACTAAAATAAAGTTAAAAAAGTAGGTTGGGTGACATAATCTAATTGATAGGGTTCAATGAAAAAATGAATGAGAGTCAAGTTAATAAGCTGAGTAGAATTCACTTAAAAAATAAACGAAAATCGAGTTAGCAACAGTCGTCATGAGCGTAGAGACTTAATAGAGGGTGGGGGTAGAAAATAATGCAATTAAGAAATAGACAAACAAAGAAGAAAGAGGTAAGACAAAATTACGTATTTGGTGTTAAGATAGATCAGGACCAGTGTAGATTTAGTGACTGAACAAACTTCTTTTGTATGCAGAGTTCAGGATTCAATATGTGAATTGCCATTGCTTCTGCAGTTTGAAGAAGTTTAATTCGCACTCTTTTGGCAAGATTCCCACGTATTGTGTAGATAACTGAGAAGTTGTTTTGTGAGTTTGCTTGGTGTCCGGATTCAATCAAGTGTTCTAGGATAGAGCTGTGGCGGGGGGATCTTCTTTCTCCTTTATAAAACCATGAAGGTAAGTGTTCGCTGATTCGTTTGGATAGCGAACGCTGGGTACGGCCGACATACCTAGCTCCACATGAGCAGGTGAATTGGTAGATGCACACTGATGAGGAGCTAGGTATGTCGGCCGTACCCAACGTTTGCTATCCAAACGAATCAGCGAACACTTACCTTCATGGTTTTATAAAGGAGAAAGAAGATCCCCCCGCCACAGCTCTATCCTAGAACACTTGATTGAATCCGGACACCAAGCAAACTCACAAAACAACTTCTCAGTTATCTACACAATACGTGGGAATCTTGCCAAAAGAGTGCGAATTAAACTTCTTCAAACTGCAGAAGCAATGGCAATTCACATATTGAATCCTGAACTCTGCATACAAAAGAAGTTTGTTCAGTCACTAAATCTACACTGGTCCTGATCTATCTTAACACCAAATACGTAATTTTGTCTTACCTCTTTCTTCTTTGTTTGTCTATTTCTTAATTGCATTATTTTCTACCCCCACCCTCTATTAAGTCTCTACGCTCATGACGACTGTTGCTAACTCGATTTTCGTTTATTTTTTAAGTGAATTCTACTCAGCTTATTAACTTGACTCTCATTCATTTTTTCATTGAACCCTATCAATTAGATTATGTCACCCAACCTACTTTTGTAACTTTAGATATTAATTTAGTTTAAAAAAAAAGTAGAAATGTGAAGTGCTATTTCCTAGTAAAAATTTTTATCCTAATCGTCACAAGCCAGTCTTTGTTTTTTTTATATTTGCGTGTCTCAGTGAAGCGAAAGGCATGACGAACGAATAGGCGTATTCAGCGTATCAGTGGTACTGTCCATTGCGTCAGTATTATTATAATCGTGCGTGAGTCTAATCGGTCATATCAACTGTTGACGTGATCATATCAGTTGATGACAGGTTCTTAACAAACTGGCGACTGGTTGGTTATTCAGTTCACTGTCGACATAACGTGGAAGTGGACCGCAAATAAGCTGAAATGACCACTGGGTAACGTCACACCTCAGTCGTCTTAATTGAACCCAAATTGGAAGCAACAGACTAGGCATCCAAAGGTAACATACACAAGAGATTATGTGAAGAAGAGGACAGCTTAAATTGATGGAACAGAATCAAGTGCAATAAAAATTTGTCACCAAGGCTTTATGTTCTACTCGATACATGTTTTATATAGTTTCACAAGTGTTATGCGTTTGTGTTCATGTGTCAAAATGAGAACAGTATAGTATGCAAAATTCTCAGCTAGCTAAAATAAATCATGTGTGTCTCCAATAAGAATTTTGTGCCTGTCAACTGAAAGATCAACGAGTTGGCCTAGTAATCTGAAGGTTCAGGGTTTAATCCCTGATGGGACAGTGAGTGCTCACTGATAAAGAATCCTTAACTAGGATGATACAGCTATCGAATACTCGCTGAACTCCAACGATTGTCTAACAGATGTATAGATTCATGTCTGAACGCTGAAAGTAATTCATTGAACTCACTTGATCCATTCCATTAACTCAACAGTATCTGGATCATAGAATTCACTTAATTGACTTAATTGAAATAATATTTCACGTACAGCCTGTTGAAATAAAAAGAAAAATTCTTTGTAATTCAAGTTTTTAGTTTACACGAATCTGATTGATTACAGGATTTCATCATGAGCTGACAGCCGTTAGAAATCACCAGGGAGTACTGGATAGCTGTTTCGTCCAGTTTGGAATTCTTCATCAGTACGCATCCATTGCCCCGATTCAAACCGAAAACCTTCCGGTTACAAGGCTAGCGAGGTCGTATACCGTTCAGTCACTGGGACCCAGTCCCCAGTGGTGAGTACATGAATTCCAACCTCTGCCAATTCATGACCACTAGCCAACGTCATTGCTGGCAAGTATTTGTCCTCATATCAGACCTGCTGTACCCTGATGATCCTGGTTTCGAACCCTGGTGGGTACGTATTGATTAAGAGTCCCAAACTCCCAGGTTCTCAAGTGATTCTCAAACCGACGTCAGCTCATGAAAAAAAATGTTTGCTTTGTATTTTTAATATACAAAGTTAGTGAATTTTTATACATTGTATCATCGCATCACTAATACTGTGTTAGTGGTTAGTAGATAGAATGCCCGTCAATCATCCGCTGGGTCTTGGGTTCGACTCCCGATCAGCACGCTCCTAAAGTTAGTGTAGCTAGTTGTAGGACTGGAAAGTAGGAAAGATGGTTGGTATAAAGACTAGTAACCCTATCCATTAAAAAAAAACATCACAATTGCTGTTTTTGCTGAATATCAAAAATGGACACATTGTACATAAATTTTGTTTAATCGACTTCTTTGTCGTTAGAATGGAAGTAAAGTCATGTTGTTTGTCACTCTGTCTACGCAATAGCGCCGTTAATATCCGTACTGTATTCTTTGAAATTTTACAGGAACATCTCATCCTTACCCGAAAACTGTTCAACAACTTGTGGACAACTTCTACCAGTGGACATAACCCCAACAGTGAAACGGATCTGTGGATTATATGAAGATACCAGTGCAACAGCAACAACAACAAACACCAGTCACCATCAACGGAGTAAAATTAAACGAGGTCACTTATTCACTTCGTCACTCAGCATCAACAACAAAATTCAGTCGGATTTTCAATACAAACAGCGTCAAGTCAGTCAGTTCTTCTATACGGATCAGAAACTTCGCGGTCGGGCGGGTCACAAAGAATATTTCCAACAGCCTGTTGCAGACCTTCATCAACCAACAACTCTCTTCGCTGGCTCTATACTGAAGATCAAATAGCCGGGCCGGGCTGGAGAGAATCACCAACAAGAAACTATGGGAACAAACAAACAAACAAAACAAGAACCAATCGCCCAACAACAACAAATTTGCAGGAGAAAGTGTAGATGGATTGGATACTCGTGGCTGAGGAGGCCTCTGGGTGACATAGCGCGCGCGTCCGGCCACTGCTCGAGTGGAATTTGAAAGGGAAAAGGCAAGTGGGACGTCACTGCAGGGGTGACATGGAGGAGATCGTGTGAAGGGGAGTTGAAACAGTATGGACTAACTAACATGGATGCAGGTGAAAAGTACAGCAGGAGGAAGACAGAATCAAGTGGAGACGTGCAGTTCAAGCCTTATGTTACACTAGGAACCCAAGGGAGCAGTAATAATACTTATTCACTTATTCAAGCAGAATAGGCAGTCAGAGGACACACGACTGGTGAACATAAAGAATAAAGCGGCGATGAAAATACCCAACCAAATACAATAAGCACCAATCACCAATAACTACAGAAATTTGACAGAGGCCGAATAGCTCAGTGGTAACGTCTCTGACTGCATCACTGGTTGACGCTGGTTCGAATCTCAATTGGGATATGGGTTCCTTGAAGATACGCCTTGATGACTGGTGAGCGCCAACTAGCGCTAAACCTAGGTCAAGCAATGCTTCCTGCCGATCGCCTTCAGTCATCTAATATCACTGAACCGTTAACATTTAATATGATCCATTCCAGCTACTCATTTCAATAATCAGTAGTATATTACACCCAACTAAACTTATTATTATCTTTTTTCAAGTGTAGATTCTCAGGGACTTGATGAAGTTTGATCTCACAGTGATACACTAGTTGTAGAACTAATGAAAACTAATGAGTATTGGATAGCTCTTTTACTCCGTTTGGGACCCATCAGAAGTATGTAACCATGATCCCACCGTAAGAGGTGGAACCCGGGACTTTCAAGTTACAAATTGAGCTTGTTAACCATTCAGCTAGCTTATGTATCTGGTTCGACTGCCAGATAATATAACATCTGTGACTTGGTGGACACTACTGATAGTGAATTACCAGCACTACTTCAAACAATTTAATCATCATTATAGATATGATGGAGAAGATTTGTAGCTCAGGTGGATGATTTTCATGTGGTTGTGTTCTCTGAGCTGGATAGTTAATTAGCAAAGCTTTTATTTGGATACGTTACGTAGACGACATATGTGTGATAATCAAAAAGAACAAGTTGGATAAAACTCATTCAACTTACGTGAACAACGTCTTCGACGACATCAAATTCACAAGAGAAGTGGAATCCGAGAATAAAATCCCATTTATTTGGACGTCTTAGTCAAGTGAACAATCACAGGGGAATTAGAAACTCAAGTTTATAGAAAATCAATTCACACAGACTAAATACTGAATTACAACAGCAACAGTCTAATAACACACAAAAGGAACCGTATACAAATACTATTCAAGAGGACCATCCAGGACTTATTGCAGCACTCCCACCTTAAAAAAAATTGAAAGAAAGATATCTCATGAACGTCTTCCAAAAGAATGGATATTCACGGAGTTTCATCAAAAGACATATACCCCCAAGCTAACTTATCAAATCAAAGGCTTCCAAGGAAAGCACAAAGAAAATCGCCTTACTATATATAAAGGACATCTCAGAAATCACTACAAGACTCTTCAAACCAACAAAGTCGCTTCACTCATTTCTATGTCAACCAAAAGACTGAAAAGCGAAAGAACATATAACTAATATCATCTACAAAATAAGTTACAGTGTCTGCGAAAAACACTACATTGGCCAAAGTGGACGTCCCCTTCGTCTTCTTATCCATGAACATAAACTAACCATCAAAAGACATGACATCCACTCCCTGGCTCATATCACGACATACAGACAACCACGAACATCAATTCAACTGGGACAACCAACGTTCAAATATTAGACAGAGGAAACAACAAGAATGCTAGCCAGAGAATTTTTAGAAGCCTGCCTGGTATTCCAGTGAATCATCAATTAATGATAGACACGTCCAGATAGACAAAATCTACCAATCGATAAGAAGGAAACCTCACACAAAGGGTCAAAGTTCAAGTCAAGAAAACAATCAGTACCCAAACAAGTAGCCTAGAGGGTGTGGAGACACACACACACAAAATCAACCAATCACGACGTTCAAGGTCACCCACCAGGAGAGATGACTAATAGTGAACTCGTGGAGAAATCTAAAAGCTCACTTCATCATCAAATTGAAGTATGCGCTGAAGATGTTGTCTAGTAGGGCTGAGAGAATGCAACCACATGATAATCATCATTATTTCTGAGTATTTACACAACTCACTTGATATGCAATTGAAATAATCAATACTATGAGTATAATATTTACAGTCTGATTAACTTTCATTCTTGTGTTTATTTTTCTATTTTCTTTCATAATTTTTTGATAATAATACGATGATCTATCCAGTTTTTTATGAAAACCTTTTGATTTATCACAATAAACATGATATAATTTATACATGAGACAACAAGTATGCACAAATAGATTTAAACAGCAAACTAGGGCTTGTTTAAAACCAATCACGGCTAATAACAGCATATGCGGTGTCCATAAGTATTTCATACGCAGTGTAGTCCAGGCAAGAAATCCAAAATTTAAACTGTACGCTGAAAAATAAAATAATAAATTCAGGAAAAACAAAATAATAGGAGGAATAAAATCTATAATTATTTTTAAAAATAGATAGAATCTGACAAGATAACACGAGCAGACAATAATATACTTCAGATAGTGGATGGTGACTAGAAGTGGAATCCAAGATGCGAATTTCGTCCGATTTGGGACTCGTCAGCTGGATGTACATACATTCGATTCCCCAGTAGGAGACGATGTTCCCACTGAGGCTTAAACCAGATGATGAAACCCAAATAGGACGAAATGTGTGTTATCCTGGACTCCACTGCTAGTCACCATCCACCAATTAATTGTCTTCTAATTACATGCCCAGTCATCGTTGGAACATCTGCACAAGAAGCTGACATGTCAACCTGAGACCAAGCACTTCGGTCCAATCGACAGGAAAATCTAAAATTCAATTAAATAAGTAGTAGTAGTAGTAGTATACTTCTTTTTTAGATTATTTCTGCATCTTCCATTGATGGATTATTGGATTCTGTCAAACTCTTGAAACCCGATTTATGTGTGTTCAGAAAGCAGCAGTTATCAGCAGTCTTTCCTTGCCAATCTGGTAACTGGATGTCTTTATTCTCTCTTTCACTTGACTATGTAATCTTTGGCTTTAACCTCAGCCCCCCCCCTTTAATATAGTGTAATTTTAATTGTCTCTTGTTTCCATGATTTGAGTTGAACTCAGTACATTATGACCTAGTTTATTAGTCACTCAGCATCTTACTCATCTCTTGTCTATATGACGTAACTCCTCTACCACTGTATGTATCCATTTACTTTGTTTGTAATTTTCTGTGCACTCTTCACTGATTCCAGAGCCTCCTGTCAACTGACACCATGAAAGAAATTTGCAAGTATGTTAAAACTTTTCTGTGCATGAACTTAATAATAATTTATTTAGGCTGTAAGCAGCAGCTGGACTGATGAGAAGCCAACGAAATTAACGCAGGATAGTACCATCTTCTTATTCTGCACAAACAACCACTGTGTTGTTCTTGATGGATTATTATTGAACCCACATGCTCGGTGTCTCTGTTGAAACACAGACTCCTAGTACGGACTCTCCAACCATGTCAGAGGACAACTAACATGATGCTGTTTCAGCTGGTGGTGACTAGCAGTGAAATCTAAGATGTGAATTTCGTCCTATTTTTGAACTTGTCAGCTTAATATGCCTGCATTCTTCAGTAATGATTGATCGTATTCCAAATGAAACTTGAACCCAATACCTTGTTGTTTCAAACACGGAAGAAGATGTCAACAGAGAGTAAACCTTTCGGTCCAATGAATGATGGATCATATCTGTGCAATCCGATCATTGAGGAACTAATATAACTAGTGATGAAGTTATCTCAAGATCTCCAGTTGGAAGTTGTGACAATTAGGTTATATTAAGTCGGGTGTGAAAACGAATGCTCGTCGATGACATTACCTGGAGGTTCGCATATATACACACATCGTGAATCGGGAGAAGTTAGAATTTATGGGATGGTAGGTGGCAGGCAGGTCCCTGTGGCTGAGTGGTTAGCTGACTTACCTTATAAGCTGACGGTTTCGAATTCGACACCTAGTGAGGGGGTCATGGGTATACACTGCTTAGAAGTCCCAAACTGTTAAGAAACTGTTCTCAAGTACTCCAGTGGGGTTTCCTAATGGTTCCCTAACTGACTGAAGACAGTTGGTGACCAAACCTTATATAAATGGAATTCCTGAAAATCAACAGATGAACAATTGACTGACCGATTCAAAACACAGGACTTTTCGTAGAAGGACATCAAATAAAGTTACCACACCCCATGAAGCACACAAAGGCATATAAAATAGAGGGAAGAAAAAGATCTCCAAAGGAATTATAATTAGCAAATATATGATAGAGAACGAATACTAAAATAAACAAACATTAGGATTCAATGGATATGTCAGACAGAAAAGAGTAATTGCATCTTTTCCAATAAGTATGATTTTGAAGCATATCACTAGATGTCTCCGACCATTGGTTCTTAGAATCCTGAGGAGGTCTATGCCTCTATATGTGGCTTAAACTAACTGTCAAACATTTCATGGATTGGTTACATGATTTCATTTCATCATGAACTGACATCGGTTCAATAACCATTGGAAAATCTGGAAGTGTACTGGACAGCCAGCTGTTTCGTCCTAGTTTTGAACTCCTCATCAGTAAGCACCAAACGGGATTCGAACCCAGGACCTTATGGTTACAAGGTGAGCGCTTAGACTATTGTCTAACCAATGTCAGCTCATAATGAAATTCTGTATCCCAATCAAATCCCTACAAACCAACACTTGAATTTCATGGATTGATTCAAAGTTTTAGCATTAGTTTGTAGGGATTTGATTTGATTACTCTCAGGATTTCATCATGAGCTGACATCGGTTAAAAAAAGCCCATTGGTAAACCTGCAGGGAGTACTGAACAGATGTTTCCTCCGTCCTAGTTTGGGGCTCTTGAGCAATGGTCACAAGGCGAGCTAGCTCGTAGACCATTAAGCGGCCATTGGAACCCTACCCATCGGTCCATGAATTCCAACTTCGATCAATTCACGTCATAGGACGACCGCTAGCCAATATCTGTGGGTTATGAATAGTGATCAGAAATGAAACAAACAAAAATGCATGAGCTATGCTCAAGATATGACCGAATAGTTCCACAGACTTATTATTATTAGTTCTACTTTTTGCGTTTCGTCACCAACTAGCACCAGTTAAAAATCATTGAAAACCGAAGAGTACTGGAGAGATATTTCATCTTAGTTAGGAACTCTTCATCAGTGCTCTACCACAAAACATGCAGGAGTGGAACCCGAGACCTATAGATTATGAGTTCAAGCTTGTCGACCATTTAGTCAGTTTGATTGGATTTCAATGAGAGTAGCCCCATGGTGCGTACTACTGAAAAGATTTATCAGTAGTATATAGATGCAGATTGATAGGAGGTAACTGAAACTGAAAGCAACATTTTAAGTCGGTGGCTATAGAATAAGAAAGAGTGTTCGTTTCTCAAATCTGGATCTAGTTTACGTTGTGGTCAGGAAATAGTCTTACTAAACAACTTCTCGTCTCAAGGCTTTACCTGCAGAAAATCACCAGCCAATCAGAACAGTTTATTATCCGCTGACCAAACCGATCATAAATGAGGCTAAAAATGTATAAATATGGTGTGTTATTCCTCAATAACAATGTCCATCACCAAGTCCCTTATCTTCTGCCGGTTACAGCTTTATATCACTAGTCGACAAAGTTGCAGTTCGCGATCAATATATGGTAGGAGCTAAGAGGACATTCCTTCAAGCCAGTGTAGTTCATTTAGTCAGTGTGGGTGGTACACCATTTCGACTACCAACCACTTCAAGGTAACACCTATCGATCAGGATGCTAAGAACCAGCTGGTTGGCTCAGAACCTTTTTCTATGGCCCAGGTGCATTCTTTTTTTTTCATGATCTTCCAGATCCTGGTGAAGTCCTCACGTGTCTTTATGTATTATTATTTTTAAAACACCATACTTCATTGAAGCAGTCAGCTATAGGCAGCAGCTAACATGTCAATGGAGACATTTAACATTTTGGTCGAATATATATAATCATTCAGATATGATAGAGAAGATTTGTAGCTTAGGTGGATGATTTTGATGTGGTTTTGTTCTCTGAGCTGGATGGTTAATTTGAGAAGCTTTCATCACCCTACTAGGTGACATCTTCAGCGCATACTTCAGTTCCATGAAGTGAGCTTTTAGATTTCTCCAAAAGTTTATTAATCATCTCCCACCTTAAGGAAAATTGAAGAAAAGTATCTCATGGGCGTCTTACAAAAGAATGGATATCCACGGAATTTCATCAAGAGACATATACCCCAAAGCCAACCTACTAAATCGAAGGCCTCCAAGGAAAGCACAAAGAAAATTGCCTTACCATTTATCTAGGATACCTCAGAAATCACTACAAGACTTTTCAAACCTTAAGGAATTGACGTCGTACACAAACCAACAAAGTCGCTTCACTCAATTCTATTTCAACCAAAAGACTCAACAGCGAAATAAGATAAAACCAACATCATCTACAAAATAAATTGTAACAACTGCGAAAAACACTACATTGGCCAAAGTGGACGTCCCCTTCGTCATCGTATCCATGAACATAAACTAACCATCAAAAGACATGACATCCACTCACTCACTCATATAGCTGCATACAGACAACCACGGATATCAATTCGACTGGGAAAACCAACGTTCAAATATTAGACAGAGGAAACAACAAGAATGCTAGCCAGAGAATTTTTAGAAGCTTGGGTGGTATTCCAGTGAATCGTCAATTAATGATAGACACATCGAGATAGACAAAGTTTATTAACCGATAGAAGGAAACCTCACACACACACAAAGGGTCAATGTTCAAGTCAAAGAAACAGTCAGTTCCAATACAAGTAACCTAGAAGGTGTGAAGACACACACAAAATCAACCAATCACGACGTTGAATATGACCAGGAGGGATGATTAATAAACTCGTGGAGAAATCTAAAAGTTCACTTCAAATTGAAGTATGCGCTGAAGATGTCCCCCAGTAGGGTGATGAAAGCTTCTCAAATTAACCATCCAACTCAGAGAACAAAACCACACCAAAATATATAATCATTCAGTAGTCAGAGGACCTGTCATATGCTCTGATGGTGTTCTCGTGACTTTTGTTGCCAGATCTGCCAAGGGAGATGGGATAGTGTGCGCGACCTAATGGTTGTGTGCAAGGTTTGAAGAAGGCTGTGTGCTATATGCATGTCCGTCGCCCTGATAATGCTTGCGTCGGTGGCACATTGGTATGATGCTCACCAGTCATGCAGGTGGTCCGGAGTTCGATCCCCGGCCGACACAGCACTTCTTTACCTCGCTAAGTCAAAAATAATGCTGGTAAAGAGGAAAGGCTGGGGATGAGGCTAGAAATCCCATCCTGTGAAATAAACACGACTGCTACAGAAACTTCAAGCCACTAGCTTGAAGCCCTATGTTCCACTGGGGAACGTGAAGGAAATATATATATATATATATATATATATAGTCAGAGGACGCTTTCCACCACACGGATATGAGAACATATTCCAGCAGCATGGTTTCACAAGGGAGAAAGGAAGTGTGTGTGTGTGTGAAGCTCTATTCTGGAACACCTGATCGACTTCTGTCACTCAGTCAATCAACCTTGACCATAATTTCAAGATTTCTTTTTGATTTTTGATTTACAGCTTGATTCCACACTGTATTTTCGGTACAAGTATGGAATTTTCAGCATGGATATCGGTAGCCCAAATTTTGCAGGCCAACCATAGATATCAGGTGTGCGCCGGCGTGGGCTCGAACCCCGGGCCATGTGCATGGTCGGCGAGAGTCCTAACCACTGTGCTACCGACGCATATATACAATCCATGCTAACTTGCCGGCCGCATTTTCTTCGTAACAGACTTCTAAAGACAGCTGAGGCCTTGGCTATTCATTCATGACTTGAAGCCAGCCAGACCTTTGTGTACAAAAGAAGTATGTACAATCCCTACTTCTGTCTTGGCCGTAGCGGGATAGACATTTATTTATTTTGTCTATTTAGTTATTCTATGTACTTTTCTCCTATTACTACGATTATTTTTATTATTATTAATATTATTACTATTCTCACTCTGAATCTTTTCCACTTGACCCACTTGTCATTCTAAACCCAAAATTATAAATTCTTTTTTACTTTTTTATTTTTACAATATTGAATTCTACCTTTTCAAATTTCACACCATGTTATGTAACATTTTATATTCGTCTATTAATCCTGTAATTATGTACCCCTTTCCAAAATTTACACACCTTATGTACTATTCTATATAGGATTTCATCATGAGCTGACATCAGTTAGAGAACCACTGGAAAACCTGCCAAGGAGTACTGGACAGCTGTTTTCTCCGTCCTAGTTTGGGACTCTTCCATAGCAGTACGCATCCACCCCGCTGGGTTTCGAACACAGGACCTTCTGGTTACAAGGCTAGCGAGCTCGTAGACTATTAAGCAGCCCCTGGGATTCGATCCAATGGTCCTTCAATTCTAACTACTGCCAAATGAAGACATAGCGTGACCACTTCGCGATGTCTTCTTCATGAGTCACTGACAGGGATGTCCACTTTCCCCATTTCTGTTTAACTTCATCATAGATATGCTGATGGAAGTATCCTTAACTGAACGTAATGACTTAGGAATCGACTTGTTACCAGGGAATAGTCTTATGGACTTAGAATATGCAGATGACATAGTCCTGTTAGGGGAGGATGCTGACAAAATGCAGAGTCTTCTGAACACCTTGAGCAGCAATCTTCGTATGTTTGGCATGCGATTCGCCCCTACAAAATGTAAGATGCTGCTACAGGACTGGACCACGTCAACCCCTAACTTAGTGATAGGGAGTGAAGTGATAGAACATGTTGACCACTTCACCTACTTGGGAAGTTGTATTAGCACCAACGGACTGATTGGCGATGAAATCTCAGCACGGATCCGAAAAGCTCGAGCTGCTGCTCCAGCTGACTTACACCATCTCTGGCGTAGGCGTGACATCCGGTTATCAACCAAGGGACGTGTGTACTGCTCATCAGTTCGCTCCGTCCTTCTCTATGGCTCTGAAACATGGCCAATACGCGTTGAAGACATGAAAAGGTTGACTGCATTCGATCATAGATGTCTGCGATCTCTGTCTCACGTTAGGTGGTTTCACAAGATAAGTAATGTTGACGTTAGGCGTAGAGTGTTGGGCAAACAGGGAAAATCAATCGACGAGGCTATAAAGTTACATAGATTGAGATGACTAGGTCACGTGTCTAACGCGCATGCCTAACCATCGCCTCCCCCAACGGGCATTACTAGCTGATATAGGTGGTGCAGGTTGGAAAAGAGTAAGTGGTGGCCAAACAAAAACACATGGCATCAATTCATGAAATCCTCCTTGACAGTTAAACTGAGTCGGTCAGGTAGGGAGATGCAGACTTCCGGGTTGGGGCGCTCGGGACTCTAGGAATCAATGGCTGGAGACAATAGGCGGTGACATGGCTCAAAATCGTTGTCAATGGCCAGCTCAGATGTATTCAGTCTCTGTAATCTTTCATATTCCTTTCTACCATTACCCATTCTGTTTCACTCTTATACTTGTCAAACTCTATTGATTCTCTTCACTCATCTTCTTGTCTAACTCTGTGTGCTATTTGGAACGTGACAACTGGAACTGGTGCACTTGGGTGCCAAGTTCTATGTTGAATCCAGACAGACAGACTGACTGTCTCATCTTCATTCAGCCTGCTGTACCCTACTAGTCACCTGCTTCCCTACAAAACCAGTACTTGAAAATTAATTATTTTTGCCACTTGTCATTAAATTATGATTATAATCACAAATATTTTATTTGCATTTCATACTACTACTACTACTACTACTACTACTACTGCTACTGCTACTGCTACTGCTACTGCTACTGCTACTGCTACTGCTACTGCTACTGCTACTGCTACTGCTACTGCTACTGCTACTGCTACTGCTACTGCTACTGCTACTGCTACTGCTACTGCTACTGCTACTGCTACTGCTACTGCTACTGCTACTGCTACTGCTACTGCTACTGCTACTGCTACTGCTACTGCTACTGCTACTGCTACTGCTACTGCTACTGCTACTGCTACTGCTACTGCTACTGCTACTACTACTACTACTACTATCATTATTTCATGTATTCACACCTTCGACATAATTCCCTCACCGGATATAATTTCTTAAACTAAAACCAAATATATATATATATATATATATACGATTGTACAGCTTGATAATAAATTCGTTGTTGAAAAGAGTCTCTTCGCTGAATATTGTGTTCTCAATCAATCAATCAAGGACAAAATACAAACCAAGGACGTATTTATTAACTTGGATAAATAATAAATTAAAGATAACTTATATACATAAACTATACAATTAGTAATAATTTTACCTAAATGCCATGCTTTTATTCTTATTGTTGGGTTATCTTCATTCAATGCTGTAAACCCATACAGTGTAATAGAGGATTTCTGAATTGGTTCTTTGGGTAGATGATCAATTCTAATTCTAAAACAAAAAGTACATAGAATAGATATGCCACTACTAATGATAAGGAAAAATAAATAACTTCCAGTGGATTAGTGAAATTGATACAGAGCTGAGTAAATACTTTGTTGGTATTAGATGGTTAATGGTAATCAGCCATAGGAAGCCCTGCTTGGCATAGGTTTTGTGCTTGTTGGAACTCACCAGACAGTCAGCAAGGCGTATCTTCAAGTAGCTTGAAGGAATTCGTGTCCCTCCTTCTGAGATTCGAACCCACGTCACCCAGTGCCGCCTGAAGTCAGAGACGTTACCACTGAGATATTCGGGCTGGCTCACGATTGACCTTCTGTATGACTATAGTGGATATTTTGACTGGACACCAGTAATTTGTGCATCGGTGGCACAGTGGTTAGGACTCTCGCCGACCATGCACATGGTCCCGGGTTCGAGCCCACGCCGGCGCACACCTGATATCTATGGTCGGCCTGCAAAATTTGGGCTACCGATATCCATGCTGAAAATTCCATACTTGTACCAAAAATACAGTGTGGAATCAAGCTGTAAATCAAAAAAAATAATAATAATAATAATTAGTGTGATGTGTCTGGTCTTTTCTTTGCTGCAGGCTGAATTCTATCAAACAGGTCAGTGGTAACGTCTCTGAATGCAGCACTCACTGGGTGACGCGGGTTCAAATCATAGAATGAAGGATATGAGTTCTTTCAAGATAGTTGCAGATACGCCTTGCTGACTGACTGATGAGTTTCAACTAGCACGAAATCTAGATCCAAGGCTTCCTGCCGATTGCCTCCAACCATCTAATATCATCAGATCAATGTGCACTGTGATGATGAATTACTTAGAATGGTGGCCACATTACGAACCTGACTGACTGATAGAATACAGCCTGCACCAAAGAAAGGAATAGACACATCACACTGGTTACTAGTGTCCAATCAAAGTATTCAGCACAGTCTCATTGGAGGAGGTCAATCCCCAGTACGAATAGCGTAGTGGCAACACCTCTGATTGCAACTCTGGCTGACGCGGGTTTGGATCTCAGAAAAAAAGTGAGTTCCTTCAAGGTATTTGCAGATACGCCTTGCTGACTGGTGAGTGTCAACTAGCACGAAACCTATGTCAAACAGGGCTTCCTGTGGCCGATTGCCTCCAACAATCTAATACTCTAAGTTTTCCATAGTTTTGAATTCATGGCTAATCCCCATCCAGACTTTAATGAAAACAAAACACGTAGATCAACTGATAGAATCAGCACAATTCATTGTATGACGTCGAAGGGATTTATGATGAATTGAAACGTAGCAAGGACCCCTCGACAGTCAAGGAACTTAATGCGTTTCTACGGTAATCTGTCAAGCTTGCTGTAGGGAAAGCGAAAGTTAGTTGTTGTTTTTTTTGAGGATTGCGTCGCTAATCATTCGCATTGAAAGTGGTTCTGGAAAGCACTGCGACGCAATCATATCTATCCAAATACGAAGTCCCTTCGACGTCATCCAATGAATTGTGCTGATTCTGTCAGCTCATCGACGTGTTTTGTTTCCATAGTTTATCCCCAATAGAGCTTGAAACAAAATTACTGTGTTTATCAGTATTATTTTTTTTTATTATAATTATTATTCTCATTTTATTCCTTGCACATTTTTTGACATTTTATCCCTAGTCTATATCTGGAAAACTCTTTGTGGTAAATTTTATTTATATTTTGAGTAAATTAGATGCAATATTTCAGCAAATGCTAAAAATTCCCTGCTGTTTTTATAAGTACTGTTTTTTTTTTAAATAAAGCAGACCATTATAATTATTATCATAAGTGATAATAAGCCTTGTTCTGCCAATTCAGTTTTAAATCGAATGAATGAAGTTCAGTGAATCATATCACTTAGGTCTGTGAAAGAGAAAGGTAACTGTTTATCATTCCTAGATATATATATATAGCTTAATTGAAGTCCTGATGGATCGATAAAACGATGTACTAACAGAAAACCTACCTACACAGAACAGAATCTTATTTACCACAGTTGATGTCAGCTCATGATGAAATTGTCCATACAAACATTTTACTTTTTAATTGCATTTCATACTATTATTATTATTTTACGCATTCATTTTACGCTTCATAATAAATTCGTTGTTCAAAAGAGTCTCTTCGCTGAATCACCCCACTTGTTTTGATTTCCTATACGTTACAATGGGAATTTTTCATGAATCAAATAGATATATCGTATGCTGTTGCTACTGTCGTGTATTGTACTGTGGAAATATGTGAGAATCATATGCCTTTGGCACACATTCTCTGTATCACACTGTAAATTTTGATATAGTCTTTGTTTAAGCAACCCAGGAAAGAATAAGGGTGAAGTATAAAAGAAGAATACGAGAGATGATTACAGTGTCATCAATATATATCTTCCATAGAGCAGTAAATTTCCCATGAAAACATCCGATAAACTTTCAATGCCTGATGTGCAGATATCTTTGTCAAAATTCATAAAAAGGGGAACTAATTGTTTCAAAAATATTGTTATCATCAGTATTATTACCTTTTATGATATCCAATAAGATGAAATAATATTTGTTTAGTTAATATTACTATTCCACATATATATGAAGGTATAATTAGATTTGAATTGAGTATTTCCATTTGATATTTTTCTAAATCCATATGACGAAATGATGGACTGCATAAATAAAGTGCTGTATCAAAATCCCTAAAAGTAGGTGGAAACAAATATATATATATATATATTACTGATAATAATGACCATAGTAGTATTGTAACAACAGAAGACAAGGGCCAAGAAACAGGCCCTCTGTTGAGAAAATCAACAGATATTTAAAGATTTTTATGTACATTATTATTAGCGTTATTGTTAGCAGGGAGGTAACGTCTTTTGATTGGTTGTTTTCTTGTTCAAGGTTATTCTGTCATCTCTTTGTGGTTGTTTTTTAGGCAGTCCTTTGATATATATATATATATATATATATATATATATATCTGCTAATCGTATCCGCCCACGCTAATTATTCTGTGATTGGTTGTTGAGTTATTCAAGGTTAAGAATCTTTGTTATTGTTTTTTCTCATGACCAAGATATGGGACGTAAACATTGACGTCAAATTGCTGTCTACCAATTTCGGTTAGCAGACAGCTCTCACCACAGTATGAAACACAACAAATTCAGATGAATTAAAGTAAAATATTTTAACGGGGATGCTACTTGATTTGTAGATTCATTTTGCCGTTACTTCAACATTTAGCAACAACATTGCGAATGGCTAAGCAAAGACTGCTAACATTTTTGATAATTTCTTCCTCATCTGGGGACACACACACATACCACAGTTACATGCACATAGTATATAAAGAGCAGTTGTTATCGCAAACATTGATGTTCTTCTTTGAATAATATCAAGTATTCAAGGGTTGATTTGTAGGGAGCTCCTAGACCATTCAACCAGTGATACGTAATTCTATGGCCCATGAATTCCAGGTCGTGACCAGAGGAGTCCACCAAGTCAGGTAACTGGATATTTACTATCCCATGACATCAGTTGGTAGCTGCATTATTATTATTACTATTCCCTTGGGTTCTGAATGGAACATAAGGCTTCAGAAGAATACCTCCGTTTTTTCCTCTTCTCTGCAATGCTGTTTATCTGGCCCTACAATTGCCCATAAGCCCTCATCTCCCCCCCCCCAAGATCTCCCGCATATCACAATCGTTCATTTTAGGATACAGTGAAGGTGGCTGTTGAGAAAAAATTCTGAACCCTGATCGAAATGCCTTGAATGACTCATGTACCAAGTCTGTAAACCACATAGTGTCTAAAATCTGGATCCCATTCTTTATGCTAAGCGCAAAAGATTTCTAAACCGATTTCAAAATGAAGAAGCTATGTCCTACCTTTCCGATTCTGGTTTTAACATTCTTTTATGTGCCGCCTGTAGTCGAGATGTCACCTCCTTCAAATTTCCTCCATCCACAGTGATTGGTGCTTTTTGTTGTTGTTGTTGTTGTCATTGTTGGTAGAAGGGTATCGTCATCACCTCTGTCTTTTCTGTGTTCACTCAAGGTCTTATCTCCTCTGCCTGTTTTTGCCAAGTTATTGGATTTTGCCTGTTGACCTTCGAGTGTGTGTGTGTGAGAGAGATTAGAAGTAGATCGTTTATGAAAAATACAGCTCTTTTACAGTTTTCAAGTCAGCCCAACGTATGCCTGTCTTCTCTCTCTTTCCACGGTTTGTTGAATGATCCATTCAAACTGTGTTGTTTACGTTTGACCTTCTAATTGTTCTCTCGTCATACTTAGTAACCCTAGTCAGCGGGGGAGCATGCATATACATATTATCATAACATTGTATCTTAAATATGCGTTGACAACCTTTGTCTTCTAAACTAATAATAATAATAACACGCACACTGCATACATTCTACTGACAACCACAGTTGGTAGAAGTTAGAATTCATGGGCTAGCCTTTGAATTGAATCACAGTGGCTGAATGGTATTACGAGCCAGTTTGCCTTGCAACCGGAAGCTCCTTGGTTCGAACCCTGACTGTGGGTGAGTACTGGCGATGATTCTGAAACTAGGCAGATGAAACAGCTGACTGTCCAGTAAGTACTCCACTGTGGCTGGTTTTCAATAGTGTTCTCTAACTGATATGAATCCGTGATCAACTCTCGTAAAAACAAGACTAACGCTTACAAACTAAATTATAGAAAACCACAGTTCATCTATTTCTCTTCTAATACCTTCATCATTTGAAATTATTCATAGTAAAATATAAACATGTTAAATGCAGAAACAGATCGTTCAAAGTAGATTATTACTGACACTTCAGATTATACAGAAGGTAAACCACTACAAAAAAAAACAGTTGGAAAAAATAGACGACAAGGGATTTCAGCAAATAACCATTTATTTTTTTTATTTATTTTATTCCTTTATTTGCCAGCTGAAACATAGGGCTTCAAACTAGAGCTTTGAAGTTTCCGATAGCATTGGTGTTTATTCTTACAGGGTACGATTATCAGCCTCACCCTCAGCCTTCCCTCTTTACCGGAATTATAACCGGTTTAGCGAGGTTTAAGAGTTCGTCGTCCGAGGATGGAACCCATGGTTACGTGCGTGGTTAGCGAGCGTTTCAATTCTGAGCCACCTAAACAACGAACCAATCCAGTGCATATTTCAAACAACAGTTTATGCAGAACAAAGTCAGTCTCTAGTGCCGAATAAATCACAGTGTGAAAGAAACCCACCTCCACTCAGCCGGATTTTAAAGGTGATAATAGTGCCAGACTAGCCAAGAGAAGATTGAATACACCATTAGCCAGAGCCTATTCTGCAGCTAAGTTGATCCTCGTCTACTGAACAAGATGCTCTTCTTTGATGCGATCAAAAGCTGACGGATAACCGCCCCCCCTCTTCTCATGTTAACTCTAATTCTCTTCACAAATTTACATGTATCTGCAGGAGAAGTTATATTGGGAAGAAGAGCATACCTCCGCTTCTTCCTACATCTACTGAAAAGCCTACATATCAAGGGAACAAACGCTATCCATAGTGCCATTCCCAGGCATCTCCTTGATACGCGTTATCAGGTGTACATCAGGACATCGCAAAATCCTTTAAAATTATCAGTAGACAAAAAAAGTATAAATCTCCTCAAGTTTGCTGAAAAAAACCTCTATGCAACGCCTAGAACCTGATTTATGCGTTCAGTCTTTCTTTACCCATCGTGGTAACTGAATGTCTTTATTCTCCCTTTCATCTGATTACGTCACACCGAAAATTCCATCGTATATGATTATTGTTGTTGTTTGGGATAAAGCGACTATTATTATGAGTACCACTGTATGCATATATTCGTTTTTCTGTTTAAAACTGAACTCTGTGTGTGTAAGAACGTTAAAATTGTTCTGTACATAAACTTAACAGTGCCTTTAGGCTGTGAGCAGCTAATAAAGAAAACCAATGGAATAAATGATGATACCATCATTTTGTTCTGCTTAAACTGCTGTTCTTGCTTTGTGTAAGCACATGTAACAACAGAAGACAAGGGCCAGGCAACAGATCGTCGTATTACGGAAATCAACACGTATTTATATAAATTTCACATACATTATTATAGCCTATTCAAGTAGACAAACGCAGTCTTCTGATTGGTTGTTTTCGAGTTCCTCGGATGGAAAGTGGAGCCATCTATCTGCGAATCATATTTGCCCATGTTTAAGTCTAGGCTGTGATTGGTTGTTGAAACAGCCTTGTTCATATTTTCTCACGGCCCATATTAGTGACATAGTGACATTGACGTAGATTAATGTCAATCAATTTGGCTAGCAGGTTGCTCTCACCACACACACATATTGCGTAACAAAAATGACAGGATGATAATGGAGATAGATTGGAAGTAAGTTGAGAAGATTGTTTGGTGACACCTAATGGTAGCCAGGCTTGGGTCCAAAGGTGAAGTGGAGATCATATGACGGGGAAATGTAAGCTTATGGGTAATCTTGGAGTCGGATAAACAGAGACAACAGTGAGTAGAGTTATTCGGAGATGCGCTGCTGAAGCCCTCTGTTCCCCTCAGAATCCAAAGTGTGCGAGTTGTAATAATAATAAGCTAACTGAACAGAATTTGACTGATTTCAGGATTTCATCATGAGCTGACATTAGTTTGAGAACCATTGGAAAACCTGGGAGTACTGGACAGCTGTTTCTTCCTAGTTTGTGACTCTTCAGAAGTACGCACCCAGCCCGCGGGGTTTCGAACCCAGGACCTTCCGGTTACAAGGCGAGCTCGTATACCATTAAGCCACTGGGACCTGATCCAATGGCCAGTCAGTGCATGAATTCTAACTTCCGCCAATTCATGACATAGTGCGACCGCTAGTCGATGTACATCAACCATGATTAATCAATTTAACGTTGTTGTTTTTTTTGGATGTCCTAAAGTTCTAATAAGAAGTCGAAGACACTGAGGTCCTGGGGTCCACTCTGTCAGGTGTGAAGTGGACGCTGATAATTGGCAGTGATCAGCCTAAGCCTTGTATCATGAATCATCAGAAACTGGACTCCAACCTAATAACTGTGAGGGTCAAAGAACTCTTCTTGTAACCTGAAGATTCCAGGCTTTTATCCTTAGTATAAGACTACAGTGAAGAAGCCTGTGTTGGGACGAAACAGATGCCTTGGTTTTCAGTGACTTTTTTAACTTAGGTCGGTTCGTGATGAAACCCACGCTGAAATTCAGCATACATAATTTCTTCTATACTACTCGTACAACAAATAATGCATGTCATTTTGGATAGGAATATTAACACAAAAATGTTTTACAAAGGTATAAAACACATATTATTATTTCAATTAAGACTAACTAACCATTTATTAGATAGATGAAATTTGTGCAGAAGAAATTGTAGAATATGTGATGCATCTTCATTTGGTATGAAAACCTAAAAAGGAAGAATATGAATATTTATAAGTATAGTAGGTTGAAGGTGAGACACAGTAACTCATCGAAGAAGACATTGAGAAATGGTCGCACTATATCGTGAATTGGTAGAAGTTAGAACTCATGGGCTGGCTGGACATTGGATCGGGTTCCAGTGGCTTCTTAATGGTCTACGGGCTAGCTCGCCTTGTAACCAGAAGGTCCTGGGTTAGAACCCTGGTAGTTGATAGGTGCTGATGAAAAATCCCAAACTAGGACGCAACAGCCGTCTAACTGATGTCAGCTCATGATGAAATCAAGTAACTGCTTAGCACGAAGTCATTTTGATGAGTGGTAACTAATAATGGAATCCAGAAGGACGAGCACTTTTTCTCCTAATTCGGACTCGTCATCTGGATGTAACTATATCCCCAAGGAATAAATGATGTCCCCGTTTACACTCAAACCCTGAGTTCATCGTTTCAAACGCCAAGGCGTTAATAACTAGACCACATGACCAGCTGACGAACCTCAAATAGGACGAAATGCACATCCTAGATTCCACTGCTAGTCACTATCAATCAAATTAATGTATTTATGTGATGAGATAGGCTAAACACTAAAAGTCTGTCTATCAGGTCATCATCAAACATCAACGATCAAGATGATGCAAGACTTATTCCGAACAGATGACAAAGTGTAATGAGAGCAGGCTGCTAGCCAAATTGGTAGACATTAATTTACGTCGATGTATATGTCTCAAATATTGGTCGTGAGAAAATATGAACAAAGACTGATTCAAAAACCAACAACAGCAGACTTTGTGTAGGCGAATACAGTTAACATATAGATGATCTCAACTTCAAGAAACAGCCACAAAGAGATGCAAGGTTAACTTTCAGTGAGAAACAACCAATCATAAGAGTGTGTTTGTTTGCTTGAATAAGCTATAATAATGTACATGAAAATCCATAAGTACGTGTTGATTTCTTTAATAAACGATCTGTTGCCTGGCCCTTGTCTTCTTTTGCTACAAAAGTATATAAAACAAGTTGTGAAGTCATGTGAATGCGTGGATGTGATTATGAGCAATAAATTGTGCTGGAAATATCTTTCAGTTATTAATACACTATAGTATCACTGACTTGCACTGTGCGTGCATTGTATCAAATGAACTTTTTTTGATTACAGCTTGATTCCAAACCGTATTTTTTGGTACAGTTATGGAATTTTCTGCATGTGATATCGGTAGCCCAAATTTTGCAGGCCGACCATAGATATCAGGTGTTCGTCGGCAGGAGATCGAACCCAGGACCATGTGCATGCTCGGTGAGACTCCTAACCACTGTGCCACCGACGCATTCAACCACAAAGACCAGTATCTACTCGTACACAGGTTCTAATTATATTCGAATGGTTAAGTAAAGTCTGATAGATAATAAATGAACAACCAAGTCGTCATTTTTACAAGATATGACTCCATGGCTTAAAATGGTCGACTTTCAGCCAGTGGAATACAGGTTTCAGTCTCTCTCTTCACGTAATTCAACCTGGACAACTGTGTAGTAACACTAGGACTTATACAATAAACATAGCTTATAGCACAGTACCGAGTGACTGACTTCTAGCAGACTACATAGTTCTTTGCCATTTTATTATTATTATTGTTATTATATCCTTTAGTTCCTAGAGGAACATAGGGCTTCAGCTGCGCACCTCCATTGCCTTCGGTTTTCTGCCAACTTTTTCACTCTACTCCAAGTCTGCCCACATGCTTTCATCTCCTCCTCGCATGGCCTCCTCAAAGTCACCCTCACACTGACGACCAACTCGCCGTTTCCCTTTCGGGTTCCACATTTTAATTAAATGTAACCATTCACTTGGTAGTGAGTGGGCATGGTGGCATAGCGGTTAGGACTCTTGCCAACCATGCACATGGTCTGGGGTTCAATCTCCGGCCCAAAACAGCACTCTTTTACCTCGCTAGGTCAGCAATAAGGCTGGTAAAGAGGAAAAGCTGGGCATGAGGCTAGCAACCTCATCCTATAAAAATAATCACCACTGCTAACAAAAGTTCAAGCCTCTAACCTGCAGCCCTATGTTCCAAAATTCATTTGGTGCATTCGTAGTGGAATATAGGGCTTCAAGGACTTGAGGTGTGAGATGTTTCAATAGTATTGAGAGTGTTGTGATTTCAACAGAATGGGACTGTTAACCTAACCTCTCTTCCAGGCTTTCTATCAACCAGTTTACTACACGAAGTGTAGGCGTAAATCAGTCAGGAAACGAACCCAGATCAGCAGAATGACTGACGAGCATTCTACGATTGTACCATCGACTTACTGATCGACTGATGTATTTGTTTCTCAATGTGTGATTATTATTATTAAAAAGGTGGAGCGGAATATGAAAATAAACGTCTTTTCTCATTTCAAGGATTTCATCATTAATTGACATCAGCTAGAGAACAATTGGAAAAAACCATCAGTGGAACACTGGACAGCTGTTTCGTCAGCCTAATTTTGGACTCTTCATTAGTTAGCATCCACCACCAGGTTTCGAATCCAGGACTTACTGGTTACAAGGCGAGCTAGCTCGTAGACCATTAAGCAGCCAATTGGAGCCCGATCCAATGGCCAGCCAGCCAGCCCATGAATTCTAACTTCTGCCAATTCGCGACACAGCGCAACTACTTCACAGTGTCTTCTTTGCAATGGGTAACCGTCCTGACCGTCACCTTGCTATGTGTTTTTTTTTATTGTGGCTGTTGTTATCTGAAAAAATTCAAAGTAATATAAGCATAAAAAGCATATAAAAAATAACTACGTATGTGCATCTCACAGCTTACACTGAATAATCCATATAGCGCTACCGCAAAGCCTATTCGACCCCATAGTTTACCAGTGTATCGAATAGATGATTGGAGCTAGAAATGAGCCGGACAGGAAGAAGAAGAAGAAAGGAACGTAAACTTTACAAGATAATCAATTTAAAACAGTTTGGTCCCTTTTATAAATCTGGATAGCGTTATTAGAAGACGGAGATTATCTGAAAAACGGGATGTGATGTGTATTTGCGCTATACATTTCGAACAATCTGATCCCTTATAAATTATTTAAATTAATCCCAGCGTGTTAAGAAAATCAAAACAAGATTTTTCTGAACGTTTCGCCGTGTCAGCCACAGCTTCTTCAGCAGATTTTTTCGGATTATAATTAATCATCAATATATATATATATATATATATTCAGAAAAATCTTGTTTTGATTTTCTTAACACGCTGGGATTAATTTAAATAATTTATAATGAATCAATCTGACTCGGCGCTCAAATTATTCCAGGAAATTCGTAACACCTACGGTCTGGAAACCTATAATCAGATCCCTCACACATTTACTTGTCAAAACGATATATATGAAAAAAATTAAAGGGCAGTTAAATTAAACAAAGTGACAAAAAAGGATTTAAGAAGAATGATTAACACAAACATTAGGTAATCAAATCAAATAAAGATTACCAAAGTAGGTTAAGAGTAACTCATTTTTAATACACAAGGGGGACTTATCCTTTCTAAATTGCCCTTCTATAAGAGATATGTAGATGATATCATTTTGATATGCGACGATCATGAAGATGCGAGTCGTCTATTAGACAGACTTAACTCTGTACAGAATCATATTAGTCTTACTTGCGAGGTAGAAAGTCGCAACCAGCTTGCATTTTTAGACATACTTCTGAGTCAAAGAGATGATGGCTCAATAAGACGGTCTATCTACAGAAAGTCCACTTGAACAGGGCAATACCTTAATTTTCACAGCTTCTGTCCATTACAGTATAAGAGAGAGGCTTGGTGAAGTGTCTATTTAAGAGGATTCAGAGTATTTGCATGGCTGATGTTATGGACAAAAAAAACGAAATATTGATGGATACTCTTGTTGAAAACGGGGATATCCTTTAAAATTTTTCAACAGGTGTAGAAGTCAACTAGTCTCTAAACCTACAATCTATACCGCCCCTGAGAAAAAGGTTTTCATCAAATTACCATATAACGGAGAAATAAACAGTGGGATTTTGAGACAAAGGTTGAATTCGATCATCCGTAGAACCTACTATGCAGCCCAGCTTGTAATTGTGGAAAAAGCTGAACATATGCTTCACTGTAAACCTCAAAAGTGCACAAGTGATTATATCATATCCCACAAAATTTACCAATTTTCTTGTGTGTGTGTGTGTGTGTGTGTGTGGACACACATAGGGAGGAGTAATCGCGCTTTGCATGTGAGGGTGGGAGAGCATATCCCAAAATGGTTAGAAAAACCAATGAATTGTCAAAAGCCAATAGATGCATGTGTCAGACTCCCAAATTCGTCTATAGCTAAACATCGAATCGAGATGAACCATAAGATTGATGTTAACTCAGCCTTTAAGGTCATCTATAAAAGTGGTCAAGGGCGTTTACTGAAATACGCTGAGGCTATAGCTATTCATAAACTTAAGCCCACCCGCTCCCTTGTGTATTCAAAAACAGTTTGTTATTACTCTTAACCTATATCTTGGTAATCCTTATTTGATTAGATTACCAAACGTTGTGTTAATTATTCTTAATTATTGACCCGTTGCACAAGAGGTGGCTCTCGTGGCCCAAGTGGTCTAGTTGATAACGCTTTGGCGTTCGAAACTATGGGTACTGGGTTCGAGCCTCGGTGGGAACATCATCACTCACTGAGAAATGCAGGTACATCCAGATGACGAGTCCCAAATAGGACGAAATGCGCATCCTGGATTCCACTGCTAGTCACCATCCACCAATTGTATTCTTAATTCTTTATTTTTTGTCACTTTGTTTAATTTCACCTTTACACATATATTGACTTGACAAGTAAATGTGTGAGGGATCAGATTGTTCGAAATGTAATAGCGCCAATACATCACATCCCGTTTTTCAGATAATCTCCGTCTTCTAATAACGCTATCGAGATAACCAGTATTTCTTAAATACTTGTCCAAGGCTTTGTTCTAATTGCCTTCAACCATCTAGTATCAACAATTCACACTGCAGTGCAGTACATCGTGATGGCTAGCCATCTAGTGGCATAGTGATGGCCACATTGTAAACTTGACTGACTGATAGAATTGACACCTGACCTGTTGCACCCTACTGGTCACGACTTCTCACTAGAACCTACCTGAATAGGGCAAGTCGCTAGTGAGCATCTCATTGTTATTTAAGTGTTGGTTTGTAGAGATTTGATCGGTTACATGATTTCATCATGAGCTGACATTAGTTATTTTTATTTCTTTTTTTATTTTTATTACAGCTTGATTCCACACAGTACTATTTGGTAAAAATATGGAATTTTCAGCATGTGATATCGGTAGCCCAAAGTTTGCAGGCCGACCATTGATATCAGTTGTGTGTCGGCCGGGGTTCGAACCCTGGACCATGTGCGTGGTCGGCGAGCATGCTAACCGCTGTGCCACCGACGCACAGAACCACTGGAAAACCTGCAGGGAGTACTGGATAACTGTTTCGTCCTAGTTTGGGACACTTCATCAGTATGCACCCACCCCGTTGGAGTTCGAATCCAGGACCTTCTGGTTACAAGGCGAGTTAACTCGTAGACCGTTAAGCCACCGGGACCCGACCCAATGGCCCATGAATTCTAACTTCTGCCAATTCACGACATAGCGCGACCGGCAGCTAATATCATCGGTGGCGAGTAGGTGTCCTCACGCCTGACCTGCCGCTGATAGAATTCAATCTGCACCAAAAGGAAGGACTAGACACTTACATTAATACTAGTTACTAGCTAGCGTCCAATCACAGAACTAATCAATCAATCAATACTGACTGATAACTAATCACCTACATTTTGACCTGATATTCGGCTGATCTCTTTTCTGTTCTGTGAATACTGGTGTTCATCAATAAAAAGGATATTTGTGAGTAGAATAATTGCACACGGTGAAGTGATTGGGAAAAGGGAACCAGCTTGAACGAAACATGTTAGCCCAAGGGCTAATAAATTGCCATAGGATAATCCAAGACACTGAAATTAAAAAAAAAATAGAAAAATAAAAACAGTTCAAAAATGTGAAATTTATAAGTAGTGTAGCGGTAAATAATTCCCCAAAAATTATTGACCATAAGAATCATCAGTGAACATTGGATGCTGACGCTTAGAGTTTAAGTCAACTTGTTTAGCTGAAGGTTTTCGGTCAAGCATCCCCGCCATTTGGTACTCCGTTGTGTCACTGTCGTGCACGATAACTAGCTAGCTCAGCTTCCGCTTCAATCCGCGATTTGGTTCTGAAATTGTATCTCGTAATTTGGACAATCGATTGTAGTCTTTTGCTTTGCTTTTGGTACACGAATAAGTTAGAAGTTGTTGGTATAAGATCTTGCGTTGATATACTCAGTACTATTCGCCAACGTCTATACCCTCAGCCTTTAAAGTAGAATAAGAAGTTTCAGAATAGAAGCTATGTCTAATCCTTTTATGAATCTCTATACAATTTATTTTCCAATGAACTGTAGTCAAGATTTGACAGAATAGTTCTATAATATTTGGGCGCCGAGTGAGAAGTAGACATTTGTAAAAAAATTATATTTGTAAAATCTCAGCGATATTGAAATGAGTAATTCCAACGTTTCATTCGGAAATCTGGTCCGAACTTCTTCAGGGAAATTAATCGAAATTAACATGACAGGTTTATATATAAAAGGAACATCTTTAGTTTTTAAAAACTTTGTCCAATCATGATTTATAAAACAAATATTAACAAGTATAATAAACAAAATTGTACGAGTTGTGATCAAAATTTGACCTCAGACTTACAAATATTGATCTACCTTTGTTAAACACTTTAAACACAGTGTGTATGTGTGTGTGTGTGTGTGCGGATAAACAGTTGTAAAACAATGTCTTAACGTCTCCATAAGTAGATATAGACAGTCGGGAAGCTTTGACCAAGTATTATTAGTTAGTGATACATATCCATTCTTATTTATTAATCAGGATTTCCTATGCGTCATCTAACATCACACCTTCATGTCGGTTCAAACTGTTAGTATCCAGAATTTTATGATTAGACGTATTATCAGAGTTATGGTGTTTAGGATTAGAGTTTAGTTGAACAACCCCGTCAAACTTATTACTTTGTCTTCTTTCTGAAAATTGAGCTGCTTTATTCGACCTACTGAAGTTGTCAGGTGACTGGACAGCTACGAATTTAGGATACGCATTCTGTCGCAGACAACGGAGAGTGGAAAAACGATGATTGTGCCAATTACATAGTTTCTTTGTTAATTTAATTCGATTACAAAATAAATCAAATGAACTGTAGTCAAGATTTGACAGACTAGTTCTGCGGTCTGAGGTCAAATTTTGATCACAACTCGTACAATTTTGTTTATTATACTTGTTAATATTTGTTTTATAAATCATGATTGGACAAAGTTTTTAAAAACTAAAGATGTTCCTTTTATATATAAACCTGTCATGTTAATTTCGATTAATTTCCCTGAAGAAGTTCGGACCAGATTTCCGAATGAAACGTTGGAATTACTCATTTCAATATCGCTGAGATTTTACAAATATAATTTTTTACAATTTATTTTCCCTTTATGAATTTGAATAAAGCAAGAATAACAGTAGTTTGTGCAGAATAAGAAGATGGTTCCATTATTGCTTATGTTATTTTTTATTTCCATTTACTTTATTTTGTTTTTATATTTTATTTTATTGGTCTTCCTGGGCAACACGAATAACGGCAAGAGACAACAATCAGCCAGTATAAATAGGAGAAATCTGAAAGAAACAACCTCCCGTTAGCTACCTATCTACCTTCCTGGGAAGCATCGTTTCAACTACAGGCGGACGGGACTAACGAGGATATCATAGCCAGAATCGGAAAAGTAAGACAAGCTTTCATTACTCTTATGTTTGTGTGGAGATCAACAGCACTCAGCATCAAAAATAAGATCCGATTGTGAAACAAATAGGCAGGAAGAAATGGAGATGGATTGGCTGGCCATACTCTGAGGAAACCATCAAGTGAGTGACATCATTAGACAAGCTGTTGCTCGAATGCAACCCTAAAGGGAAGCGGCGAGTTGTTTGTCAGTGAGAGGGTTACTTGAAGGAGGTCATGTGAAGAGGAGAGGAGATGAAAGCATGTGGGAAGACTTGGAGCCGAGTGAAAACTCTAACAGAGAACCGAACGCAATGGAGACGCGCAGCTGAAGCCCTATGTTTCTCTAGGAATTAAAGGAAATAATAATAGTATAAAATAAAAACTATGTCCAGTCCTTTTATGAATCTTCATACAGTTTATTTTCCCTTTATGAATTTGAATAAAGCAAGAACAAAGGAAGTTTGTACAGAATAAGGAGATGGTACCATTATTGTTTATTTCATTGGTTGCATATCAACTGATTACAGCCTAAAGCCAGAATCCAACCTACAGCTAAGTTGGTTCTCTTCCATCAGACAACATTCTTTTCTCTGGTGAAATCAAGAGTTGATAGATAAACCCCTTCTCGTGTTAACCCTAACTGTGTTTATAAATTTACATGTATCTGGAAGAGAAGTTACGTTGGGAGAGCAGAAGGAATGTCGCACCTCCAATTTTCTCAACCTGTAATAAAAAGCCCTTCATCTCAAGGGAACAAGTGTTTGCAAACCTACCATTTCCAGGCATCGCTTTGAGACGTGTTATGAGGTGGAGGACATCGTGAAATCTTTTGAAATTATCAATAAACAAAAAAGTATAAATCTCCTGAAGTTTGATGAAAGAAATCTCTTTGTAAAACTCCTGGAACCTGATTTATGCCCTCAAAAAGAAGCAGTTACCAGTCTTTCCTTGCCCATCGTGTTAACTAAATATCTTTATTCACTCTTTCATTTTCCAATGTATTCTTTTACTTTAACCTCACCCCCCCCTCTCTTGGTATTATGCAAATTTACTTGTCTCTTGTTTCTATGATTTCTAATTCTCTACACGAGCTATGGTGATTCCTCGATTGTAAGATGAAGTACCTAGACTCGCTAGCCACTTCAAACTGCATCTACCATTTCAACTGAGCTTATTGTGGAGCGAGTTATATCAGCCGTTACTCTAGAAACCTGATTTTTCGTACTCTCTCTCTCTCTCTCTCGAGAACATCTTCCAGCATGGCTAAGTAAAGAAATGTGTAGTGAAAACCATCAACAGTTCAATATTAGAAAGTCAACGTTATCCCAAACTATATTGGAGGTCGTTAAGCCGATTGAGGAATTATCCTAATCCTAAGAATTCAAGAAGACAGTCTTTTAATCAGATTGATTCTGCTAAAACTCTTATAAATGATCTAGAAAGGAACATTTCCTCCCAAAGACAATTTTCAGTTGATAATTTACCTCAGGAATTACAATTGATTTTTTATTGAATATATTAATAACATAACAGTAAATAGAAGTAATAATAAAAGGATAAATCTTGTCAAATCTCTCGAAAGTCAAAAGCTTGAAAGGAAATTTCCATCAGTTCCGAGCTGGTATGTGTCACGTCCCTAATATGGCGGTAGGAGGTGATTAGAAGGAAGCCTTGGATCAAGGTTTCATAGTCGTTGGAACTCGTCAGGAAGGTGTATCTGCAAAACTACCTTGAAGGAACTCATATCCCACCGAGTGCTGCAGTTAGAGACATTACCACTGACAGAATTCAGTCTGTGTTATGTACTGCTGCTTAGTGAGTTATTAGAGTTTTCCCCCGTCGCCAATTATGTTATGTACTCGTCGAGTAGTTAATAGTCCTGACGCGGAAAGAGGGAAACCAGAAGACCACTAGGTTTACTAGACAAGGAAAATAAATGTCACACTAGTGTGTGAGTGAATGGTACGCAATGTACGAAATGTGTGTGAACAAGAATGTCAACAAGAATAATAAAGCAAGAGTATATATGAAAATGGCTAATACACATGAACCAATAAGATAATGTCTTACCATGATCGGTTGTAATGTCATGTGATAATAAGGTCATACATTGTTTATTTAGTTAATGGATAGACAAAAGCATGATGTCAGCTATAATGGAATATCGATCCATATACACATAGCAAAATATAATAGACTGTCAAAAACAAAACACACATCATGTGGGTATATATCAGTCTGCACTAAACAAAAGACGAGAAGTGTCCAACTGAACTATCCATTTCAGTGCTATAGGAGGTCAGTCACGAGCCTGAATAGCTCTCAGAGGTAACGTCTCTCTCTCTCTCTGATTACAGCAGTACTGGGCGACACAAGTTCGAATCCCACAGACGGTATGAGCCCAGTCAAGGTGGTTGCAGATACGCCTTGCTGACTGGCATGAAATATGGTGCAGACAGGGCTTCCTTCCCACAGCCGCCAATCGTTTAATGTAGACAGTTTAGAGTGCACCGTGAAGGAGAACAACCTAGTGGCTTTACGATGTCCACACTGCAACTTGTCTCCATCAAATGTAGAACTGGACACATTACACTAATTAGTACCAGGTATCCAAATAAAAACAAACATAAATTACTCAATGAGACTATTATTATTATTATTATTATAACAAGACATATAAGTGAACAGTATTGTTTTCAGTTAGATCTTCTTCAGGCTTTACTCTAATTTACATAGATTTATATATAAAATGTTTTAACCAATGACAGTGATTTTGTGGATCAAATAGTAATAATAATAATGTGGTAAATGTTTTGAACGTAGTTAATAACGATGATTATAATGATAACAAAATATTCATAATAAGGTTTATGCAGGTGGCGATAAGAATAACAAAGGTAGTATAGGTATATATACGTATATGTTTGTCATTTTCCAGCCGGCCAATTATGATTGCTCAAGTGAAAGACAAGCTACCTAGCTGTGCCACTTCTATGAGTATCCATAAATTTAATTGCTCCTGTGGAGAGAGCTATATAGCCTGAACAACTAGACAGCTTAACAATCGCATCAATGAGCATCTTTCTTCATGGTTCAGAAAAGATCAAATAAAATCCATACGAAGTTCTATTTTGGTTCATTTGATTGATAGTGGTCACCAAGTGGACAAAAATAGTGCCTTCAAAGTTATCTATCGCATTCCATCGAGTCTTTCGAATGGAATTCGAATCCGTTTTTTACACATAGCCGAAGCTATGGGAATTCGAGAGAACAATCCTAGTCTTTACATACAACAAAAGAAGTTTGTTCTACCTTTGTCTCTCCCTTGCTTGCCTAGGTGAATTCTGATCAAGACCTGCCCACCCTCTCTTATTTTCCATCTCCTTCGTATTTTTATGATATTTATTTAAACTCTGATTGTCTGTCCACTTCACCTGTCTTTAGTATTACGTAACTTTTAAGATTTGACCTAATTTATTTATTGGATTGCCTACATATACACATATTACTCCCTCTGTTATTCTTATCGCCATCTGCATAAACCTTACTATCAATATTTTGTTATCATTATAATCCATCCTAGTTTGGGAATCATCGGCAGTACGCACCCACTGGGATTCGAACCCGGGACCTTCCGGTTACAAGGCAAGCTCGTATACCATTCAGCCACTGGGACCCGATTCAATGGCTCGTGAATTCTAACTTCTACTATTTCGTGATTTAGCGCAACCACAACCATTGTCGAATTAGTAGAAGTTAGAATTCACGAGCCACTGAATCGGGTCCTAGTGGCTGAATGGTATACAAGCTTGCCTTGTAACCGGAAGGTCCCGGGTTCAAATCCCAGTGGGTGCGTACTGCCGATGATTCCCAAAGTAGGATGAAACAGCAGCTGTCCAGTACTCCCTGGTTTTCAATGGTTCTCTAACTGATATCAATCCGTGTTCAACTCGTAAATCATAACTAATCCTTACAAACCAAACTATAGAAAGTTAATCTGATGCTCACTAGTGACTTGCTACAGGTTGGAGTTTCCTGAATTATTATTATTTAATCTACGAAATCACTGGCATCGGTTAAAATTTTTTATATATAAATCTATGTAAATTAGAGTAAAGCCTGAAGAATATCTAATTGAAAACAATATTGTTCGCTTATACGTCTTGTTCTAATATTATAAATGGGAATATTATTATTATTATTACCAATAACTTTATGCAGAATAGAAAAGTAACCTACCAGTTCATCGTTTAAAAATCCCAAATAATGTAATACATTCATAAAGATTACTTCAATTAATAGAACGAATTGGCTAAAATGCCAAAACATGCAGAATAGGGAAGTGCTTAGGGCGAACACTATTACTGCGCATGACATTGTCACTTTTTGAGATCTCTGTCAGAGAGAAAAAAAGAATAGTAATAATAATTATTATTATAATTATAATTAAAGCCAGAAATTTTAGTTGATTTCTAGAATATTGATGACACTGCTTGAAATTCAAGATGTTAGAGAACCATTAAAAACTGATAGTAGAGCACTAGATGGCCGTTTCGTCCCACCTTAGGACTCTTCATCAATACGAATTCATGACCTCAATTCTAGGAGTTGAACCTGAACCATCTGTCTGATCATCCAGACACTTGGACTTAATCAAATGGCAGTTCTCGATGTATATATACATATACATATATTGCGTTGAAAGTCATTTTGAAGCTCCTTCTCAAACGTTGTGATAAGATCTTGATATTGACGTCACCCATGAATTGTAATTTTAGGAAGACTGATTTTCGTGGGAACAGTTGGCACCTTCGACAAATTTAACTTTCTGAGTTCATGCGTTTGTTAATGAATTTAGTTGGATATCCGTCTCCACTTAGTAGATCACACTCAGTGTCTCATTTGAACAGATAAAAGGAGCGAGAGAGACGGTCAACAGAATAGTTAAAAAAAGTTGAAAAAACAAGGCCATATTTCACTTACCTTGTAAGAAATACTAAAACCTGTCGACATTGTGACACTCAGGTTATACGGCTTAACAGAGATTCACAAAATACCCAGAGTTTAAGGGAATAATACTGTAATACAATAACACTTACCTACCTGGGAAGCATCGTTTCAACTACTGACTGACATAACTGACGAGGATATCAAAGCATCGAGGATAGGGAAAACAAGGCAAGCTTTCATTACTCTCAAGTCTGTGTGGAGGTCAACAGCACTTAACATGAAAATGAAAATAAGATCCGGATTTTCAACTCCAATGTGAAGTCAGTGCTACTCACTATACGTACAGATCAGAGACTTGGCGCCATGTCATGAAGAGCACTTCAAACAAACTACAGGCCTTCATCAACAGCTGTCTTCGCTCAATACTACTTAAGATCAGTTGACCGGCCAGAAAAGATCAGAAACAGGGAGGGATCTCTAGCAATGAGCGAACCAACCAACCCAGTAGGAACCGATTGTGCAACAAATATGCAGGAAGTGATCGAGGAAACCACCAAGTAACATCACAAGACAGGCCCTAAAGTGGAACCCGAACAGGAAGCGGTGAGATGGTTGTCAGCGCGAGGGTGAATTAAAGGAGGTCATATGAAGAGGAGATGAAGGCATGTTGCCAGGTGTGGAGGCAGATGAGGAGAACGTTGGCAAAGAACCGAACATAATGGAGATATGGGGCTGAAGCCCTATGTTTCTCTAGGAACCAAAGGAATACAATAACACTGACAATTCCAAAGATCATCATAAAAACTTACTGTTGTATCTGTTTGTTTTAATATCATATTCAGTGCTAACATACGTAACCACCAGAATGGTAAAGCGAAATTTTCTCTCAGAGGTAATGCAATCACTATTCTTGATATTGCATGACTGAAATGAATAATAAGAATAAGAATATCAATAATAATAGTAACATCAATATAACTGCCACTCATCAGTAGCAAGAAAAACCTGATATACAACAAGACTTTTGACTACTGGCCTCCAGGTTATGCTGTGGTGAGAGCAGGTTGCTAGCCAATTAGTAGACATTAATTTACGTCAATGTCTATGTCGCTAATATTGGCCGTTAGAAAATATGAACAAGACTGACTTAACAACCAATCACAGCAGACTTAACGTGGTAAAATACGATTCGCAGATATGTGGCTTAACTTTCCGAGAAACCAGAAACAACCAATCAGAAGACTGTGTTTGTCTACATGAATAAGCTATAATAATGTACATGAAACATATATAAATACGTGCTGATTTCCGAAATAAAACGATCTGTTGCCTGGCCCATGTCTTCTGTTGTTACAATAATAACATCAATATAATTTTCACTCATCAGCAGCAAGAAAAACCTGATATACCACAAGACTGTTAACCACTGGCCGCCAGGTTATACCCCATCGTAGAGTTCAATCAGTAGAATGACAAGGTTGAGCTTCTTTTTGAATGTGTGTGGAAGTCGATAGAGCTTTGAATTTTTTTTTACTACAAGTTGAATTTATTTCAGATTTAATAAAAGCTAGAAGGAATCTATTGGCAGGGGAAGAATACAGCTTATGTTTTCATATTTCACAGCATTTCTTCAGCTGCTAACACTGCCTAAGAAGTCGCATATGTCATCACATCTAAAAGGCAAAAGTATATATATGACATTACTTCAAAAATGATTTCAACTCGAAGGAAATAATCAGTCGAACAAGAAAGAATGCAGTTTACTTCCGAAGCAGAATCAAACGGCAGTGAACTACCATTTCTAGACTGTCTAGTTAAGAGGAGGGAAAACGGACATTTTAGTATATCCATATTCAGGAAAAAAAACCCAATCCAATAAATATTTATTCTTCGGATCATCACACCCAGAAGCGCAAAGGTATCAGTTGTTTCAAGTCTTCTTAGACGAGCACACTCTCTGATGTGAATGGATGAGAAAGAAAAAGAAGAAGAAATATCAAACATTACTGAAACTCTCAAGCAAAACAACTCCCCAAGGAACTTCATCAACAAAATCAACACAGACATTAAGTAGGGCCGAAAATGTGTTCCGAAAACGTGGACCTCAACAGTTGTCACTCCATATAGAGCGGAGACGTCAGACGATATCAGAAGAGTGATCAATAAGCTCGACATCAGAGTTTTCTTTTAAAACATCAGACACACTTCAAAGCAACCTTGTCCATATAAAAGACCGAATCCCGAAAGATTCTCTTTCTAATTTTGTCTATAAAATAAAATGCTCGCTTGGAATGTGATGCGATCTACATCGGACAAACATCTAGAGAAATCAAAATCAGAAGAAATTAACACCCGTAGAGCCGCATCTGTTAGACCACCGATAAATCCAGTCAGTGAACTAGAAAAGCTTGAAGGATCATGAGCCATAAGTCTACACGCTATAGAATCAGGCCAAAAAATTGATTTCGATAATATTGAAATAATCCAAGGAAAGCATTTCAGAAATCACAAAGAACATCGTCTGATATCATCAGAAGCATTTCATATCAAATGGAATCCGAGTTGTCTGAGCTGAATAGGAATGATAGACTAAAACAGAATTTGACCTGGTTACAATACCCCTCCTCTCCCATGAAGTGGTAAAATCAAGGCGAATGTGATAAGCAATTTCATTATGTAAACCCAAGCTGTTTTTATAATTACACACACTTATGAAATCCAACATTCTACACCTGGTTCTGTTATCTTTAGGAATTGTCCAATTTGACAAACCAAAAATGTCCCCATGCTGGGGAACGATGATTAAGTTGTTATATATAAGCTGAGTGGATTTTGTAAATTCTGGTCTAATAATCCTACTTTGATTAAGCTATTAGCAGCAGCATTAAATAGCTAAACGTCAGTAAAAACAACGACAATATCGTTTTGTTTTTCATTCATTCATTGGGGAATACAAGAAACCCCTTATTATAATGAAGAAATAGGAAGATTTTTGGCTCAGATGGATGATTTTGATTTAGTTGTGTACTCTGAGCTGGCTGGTTAAATTGCCAAACTTTCGTTTTCCTTTATGTAGGCAACATCTTCCATGCAGATGTTAGTAGGAAATAAAATTATTTGAATTCTCCTTGTCAACAGCTGACGAGGAATTCTGTACATACACTAAATTTTAAGATCAAAATAACATTAAATAAACGAATGAAATCAGAAGAGATTGTAAAACAAGGTCGATGGAGAATGAGATCTAACAGACCTGTTTAGCCTCGATTTTACAATATACTTAAACTACACAAACTAAACATTCCTTAACGACCAATTGTTTCGCTGTCGGGATCACCTTATTATTACTATTGCTCCCTTGGGTTCCTAGTGGAACATAGGGCTTCAACTGCACGTCTCCATTTTCTTCTGTCTTCTGCTGTACTTTTCTCCTGCATCCATGTTAATCCATATTCTTTCAACTCCTCTTCACACGATCTCCTCCATGTCACCCTTGTACCGATGTCCCACACGCCGCTTCCCTTTCGGGTTCCGCTCAAGGGCTTGGCGCGCGATATCACCCGGCGGCCTCCAGCCTCAGTGAGTGTCCGATCCATCTCCACTTTCTCCTGCATATTTGTTGGGCGATTGGTTCTTGCTTTGTTTGTCCCCATAATTCCTTGTTGGTGATTCTTTCCGGCCCGGCCATCTGATCTTCAGTATAGAGCGAAGACAGTTGTTAATAAAGGTCTGCAGCAGGCTGTTGGAAATATTCTTTGTGACCGACCCTCCAAGTTTCTGATCCGTATAGAAGAACTGACTTTACGTTTGTATTGAAAATCCGAATTTTGTTGGTGATGCTGGCTGAGTGACGAAGATTTCCAGATTGATTTCAGGCAGAAATATATGATCTCTCTGAAGAACTTTTTTAGAAAACTAAAATACCTAACAGAATCACTGATGTAAGGATAAAACTTGGGCACTGTGATAGTGTAACAGCAGAAGGTTAAGACACGGAAGCCAAGGTAATTTTTTTTTCATTAATCGAACCGTTGTTTATATTCGTGAATCAATCACTGAGCGTGTGATTTTGGTTTACATTAAACAACATGGAATAGAATATTCAAATACACATACAGTATTCTATCGCTAATGCAGTATTGAACTGTGAGAATATATGATAATAATATTCCGTTGGTAATAAAGAAGGGCGACTTAGGACTCTGCAAGAACTGGCGAAGAATCATGCTCCTATCGACGCCAAGTAAAATCCTGAGTCGCATCATCCTGGAGAGATTAAAGGACGCACTGGAGACAAAACTCCGACCAGAACAAGCTGGACTCAGGAAAGGCAAATCATGTACTGACCAAATTGCAACTCTACGCATCATCATCGAACAAAGCATGGAATGGCAATCAAACCTCTACCTCAACATTATAGACTTTGAGAAGGCCTTCGACAGCGTTGACCGCGAAGTATTTTGGAAATTACTCGAGTACTACGGCGTACAGTGCCCCAAATATTCATCAACCTTATTCAACAGCTGTACGACAACGGCACATGTCAAGTGATACACAACGGAAGACTCAGCGAGGCGTTTGGAGTAAACACAGGAGTCAGACAAGGGTGCTTATTATCACCCACGATTATATTCCTAAATGTGGTGGACTGGATTATGCGTCCGACAGTGGGAAACGAGAGACAGGACAGGGATATCCTGGACCGACCGACGTGAAGAACCCAGAAGACCTGGATTTCGCGCGTGGATGACTTATGTTTGATGTCACACACAATCGAAGACTTACAAGCGAAAACCGACAAACTGGTCGAAGAAGCAGCAAAGACAGGACTCCAGGTAAACATAGACAAGACGGAGGTTATGAAAATAACCAACCAACAACAGCAACAACATCCAACGTCAATCACCATCAACGGGAGGGATTTGAAAGAGGTTACTTCATTCACTCACTTATCTAGGGAACATTGTCTCAACTACAGGAGGAGCGGACGAGGATGTCAAATCGAATGAGAATCGGGAAGGCGAGAAACACATTCATCAGCCTGAAATCAATCTGGAAATCTTCGTCACTCAGCCAGCATCACCAACAAAATTCGGATTTTCAATACAAACGTAAAGTCAGTTCTTCTATACGGATCAGAAACTTGGAGGGTCGGTCACAAAGAATATTTCCAACAGCCTGCTGCAGACCTTTATTAACAACTGTCTTCGCTCTATACTGAAGATCAGATGGCCGGGCCGGAAAGAATCACCAACAAGGAATTATGGGGACAAACAAAGCAAGAACCAATCGCCCAACAAATATGCAGGAGAAAGTGGAGATGGATCGGACACTCACTGAGGCTGGAGGCCGCCGGGTGATATCGCGCGCCAAGCCCTTGAGCGGAACCCGAAAGGGAAGCGGCGTGTGGGACATCGGTGCAAGGGTGACATGGAGGAGATCGTGTGAAGAGGAGTTGAAAGAATATGGATTAACATGGATGCAGGAGAAAAGTACAGCAGAAGACAGAAGAAAATGGAGACGTGCAGTTGAAGCCCTATGTTCCACTAGGAACCCAAGGGAGCAATAAAAAAATTAAATAAATAAATAATTCCGTTGGTAAACCCTGTCCATATCACACACCCACAGTAGAGTATAACTCCATTATGGATAAAATTTTATTTGGATAAAATTACACAGTGTACTGTTGTACAGTAATATTTACTGATGACGACGTTTCGAGTACAATTTATTTGCTGCTCATAATCATATCAAGGTACTACTCGCATAACTTCTTTGCTTCGTTTCTATACATGAGTAAAAACTGATTAGATATCTGGAAGTAGGGAGGTTATCAGAAAATAAGAACTTAGCTAAGGTTAGAATGAGTGACCCCACAAAGAGAGGTAAGTAATTTAAAAGAAAACTCAGCAATAACACTGCACTGCATGCATTAACACAACCACACAACTGGGGACGGGGGGATTATTATAGGTAGGTGAAGGGCGAAAGAGATTGATTAGTAAATCCTGACTGGTTCATCGAGTCTCCCTACACCCAACACAACACATGCAACAGAAATGACTCAATGCAAAAACCAGAGATATGCATGGAAGATATTATTACTACCAGTCAAATCAGTCAATTCACATTATAACATTCTAACAAGTTACTCATTTTTACTGAAAAAAAACATCTTATTGCCCATCTTGAATAATAATAATAATAATTTTCCTTCATATTCCCAGTGGAACATAGAGCTTTAAGCTAGTGGCTTGAAGTTTCTGTAGCAGTGTTTATTTTGACAGGATGGGGTTGCTAGCCAGCCTTATGCCCAACCTTTCCTCTCCACCAGCATTATTTCAGGCTTAGCGAGGTATAGGAGTGCTGTGTCGGCCGGGGACCGAACACCGGACCATGTGCATGGTCGGTCTGTCTGTCTGGATTCAACATAGAACTTGGCACCGAAGTGCAGCAGTTCGAGTTGCCACCTTCCAAATAGCACACAAGGTAGACAAGAAGATGAGTGAAGAGAATCAATAGAGTTTGACAAGTATAAGAGTGAAACAGAATGGGTAATGTAGTAGAGAGGAGGAATATGAAAGATTACAGAGACTGAATACATCTGAGCTGGCCATTGACAACGATTTTGAGCCATGTCACCTATTGTCTCCAGCCATTGATTCCTAGAGTCAGTCTCGAGGGCCCCAACCCGGAAGTCTGCATCTCCCTACCTGACCGACTCAGTTTAACTGTCAAGGATTTCATGGATTGATGAGGCCATGTTTTTGTTTGGCCACCACTGGCTCTTTTCCAACCTGAACCTATATCAGCTAGCAAAGCTCGTCGGGGGAGGCGGTGAGCGTCCTAACCGCTGTACAACCGATGTACATTTCCCATCTTATTGTATTTTATTGATAATATTAACATTATTTCTGAATGTACTTTATCTTATATTGATTTTATTCAAATGTATAATCATCAATTTTTACTCACGTATATAAATGAAGGAATAAAGTTGTGTGTGTAGTACCTTAATATGATTATGAGTGGCAGCAAATTGTGCTCGAAGTGTGGTCATCAGACTTAATCTATGCATTATTATCGAGTCTAGAACTTTAAGTACAATATTGGTCAAGCTAATCCCCTGTGATTATCACAGGAAGACTTGTCTCCCTTCTTGAATATGAGGATAATCAACGACTTACACCAACTTGGCGGAACTTCCTCTGATTCCCAGACGCTACCTAGTACCTTAGTTAACCCAGACAGTAAACTGTCTCCACCATCCTTAAACACCTTTGGCGTCATCCTATAAGGTCCTGATGCTTTACTTCACTTCAGGTTAGAGACAGTTTCCATAACCTCATTTACTGTTAGAGGACTGATGTCAGCAACCCATTCAAGTAGATGTTGGAAGTTGAGGCAATTTGAACGTGATTGTAGACCAGATAAATTGCTCTTCAAAGTGTCTCCTCCAACTTTCCAACCATTTATTTTGAGAGTTAATCAAGGCGCCGCTTTTCTCGGAGATTTCCTCACTTATCATTTATCTTTTACAACCTGTTTTTCTAATAAATATAAATAGTTGTCTGGTGTTTACAGCCTAACCCACCATCGGTGTACTCGGCTTGACTCAGCTCAGAGAGCCGAATAGATTCGACACATCGGGCACTCTGAGCTAAGTCGAATCGGGTACGCCACTGATGGACTCTGTCGCAAATCAACGAAAGAGCTATACGGTGTTTAGATCACCTGGATCTAACTACGCAGCACTGGTGGTTGATGTGATGACGCAGAAGACAGCCAAGAACGTAAGGCAAATAGTAAAATGGCATATGCATACTTTCTTAGTTACCTTCGCTTGAATCACAGATATAAAATACTATGACTGAGATTTAGATCAGACTTCGAAAAGAAACCCTAGTGAATCTTCACCACCAACTTCGTGATTCATAATTAGAGAACTTCTCTTAGGTCTTCTTCATCCACACTCCTTTGAACTATGAGTGAAACATAGAGTTTCAAGTGTGAGTGTGTGTGTGGTGGGCGTTGCTGACCCAACTTTCCCTCTTTACTGGACTTACTAGAGGTTAGGCGAAGTTTAGAAGTACGTTAGCCAGGAGTCGAACCTAGACCATTTGCTTGACTGGAGGGCATTCTACCATCGATCCACTGAAGTATATATATCGACTCTGATTGGTAAACACAGTCCCTCGCAATAATTTCACTTATTATTTTACACTACTCATAAGTAGTTAAAGGTAGATATATGTGTAAAACTTGGGCACTGTGGTATTAAGTAATTCCATATTAGTTTGATTATTAAATGTATCACACAGATACATTTAATAATCAAACTAATATGGAGTTAAAGGTAGAGTCGAAGAATTTGTCTCATCGAATGTGAGATAGTCTTTGGTTGGTGCGTTGTTATTGGTGTAATAATGGGTGATGATCACTGAAGGTGAAGTGAAAATTCGGATTCGCGGTAGGATCTGTTTATATTTTGCTAAATGTTTGTATTTAGCAGAAGACTTTACCACAACAACAAATTTGTATTCCTCACACCGATAAAACAATATTACAATATGGTGTTATGTAATAACCCCTAAGGTACTGGATTAATGCACACTGAAAGTTTCGGTTTAATATTCTGTATTGCTTAATTAAAGCCACAAATAATAAGAACTAATGCACTGTAACTGATAGCTTTCATCAGTGGCTGCCTCTTTTCAGGCTGGATATTTTCGATCAGACGGCCGACTAGAAAAAATAAACAACAACAAACTGTGAAAACGAATGGAAAAAGAACCAATCACCTAAAAAGTATGCAAATGAACTGGACCCAAGCTAGGTAGACTGTTATGTGATATCAAATGCCAAGTACACTGTCAAGTGGAACCCAAATGAGGAGGGAAGAGTTAGGTGCCCGACAATGAAAAATGCAGGAGATCAAATGAAGAAGAGATGGATGCTGGTGAGTATTTGTATGTAGATAGCTAACTAGAAAACACAGATCCCAGACAGTAGAGTCAGGTGACAGTGTACTGTTGAAGCTCTGTGTTCCACTTGGGATCTAAGGGATGAACATGTAACTCTAGAACATGTGTTAACAATAAATGAGGTTTAAAACTTTGAACATAATTATGATCTCAAATGATCCTTTGACTAGTTTTCTTTCTCTACATATATATTCGCCATCTTTTTTTGTGTTTTTGGAAAAGTTAAATGCTAGAATTTGAATTGATCTAATTTAAGCTACACTTTCATTTTACTTTGAGATGGTCAGGATATATACTGTTATGCTTGCCTAGCTACCGCCTTCCTCGACTGTCAGTGTTAGCTGACATAGGATCAGTTTGGAAAAGAGAAAGCTAGTGGTGGTGGTGGTCAAACGAAAACATGGCCTCATCAGTCAATGGAACCCACCGCAGTTAGTTGAAGTCATCTAGACACATAGGGAGGTGTAGGCTACCTGAGTAGTCGGTGTCCTCTTGATGATAAGAACCAATGAAGTATGAAGACAATTTGTGATATGGCTGAAAATCGCTCCCAGTGGCTGGCGCGAATACATTCTTTCTTTATGATCTGTTATTTCCAGTAACATCCTACTGTTCTTCCATATTACGTCTCTTTTTCCCCCACACTTCTGTTTATTATGTCTCTTTTGAACCTTTGTTTACTCTCTTCTCTATCTTTGTGTGTTACATGTGTAGTAAGAGCTGACTGCTAGCCCAAATTGGTAGACGGTAATTTACGTCAATATTTATGTCCCCAATATTGATCGTGAGAAAAGTAAGAATAAAGATTAATTCAACAACCAACCACATCAGACTTTTGCGTAGGCAGATACAGTTAGCATATAGATGATCTGACATTCAAGAAACAGCAGCCACAAAGAGATGCAAGGTCAACTTTCTGTGAGAAACAACCACCAATCAGAAGACTGCGTTTTTCTGCTAACAATAGTCTATAGTCATGTACATGAAAATCTCTAAATATGCGTTAATTTCCTAAATAAACGATCTGTTTGGCTGGTCCTTGTCTTTTTTTGTTACATATGGAGTATGGCAACTCGGACTACTGCTCTTTTGTGCAAAGTTCTAGGTTGGAATCAGTCAGTTGATCTACCTAGTGACTCAGCTGATAAAAAAAATACTAGTGTTTGCAAAAATGATTTAAAAAATTTTCCATTTCAACTTACTTATTCAACAAGAAAATAACTGCAAATAGTAGAGTTTCCAATAGTGAATTGCTTATAGACTGTATGATACATAGTAGACTAAATGGTGTCCAAAATTGTAGTAAAATTGTAGCCTTCTCATAGAAATCGATTGGTTTCATATGGGTAAACCACTTTACAAGCAAATAAACAAGCAAAAAGAAAAGAGATGTAAACAAACCATTAAAACTAATTGAACTTATTCAATATTTCAAACTGACAGGCATCTGAATTATTATTTCCAGAAGAAATTCTCAATTGACGTGTTTCAGAAAGAAAACCTCAGATTTTCGTAAAGTTAATTTTTATCCTGATTTGGAATTCTTTTCAATTGAATATGCACAATCCTGTCTTGGTGGATACTACTTGTCAGAAAAAATGGTAGGTGAAAGTCACTAATGTCAATCAATAGTATATGTATGACGAGAGCAGCCTGCAAGCCAAATTGGTTGACATTAATCTACGTCATTGTCACTATATCACTAATATGGGCCGTGAGAAAATATGAACAAGGCTGTTTCAACAACCAATCACAGCCTAGACTTAAACGTGGGCAAATATCATTCGCAGATAGATGGCTCGACTTTCCATCCGAGGAACTCGAAAACAACCAATCAGAAGACTGCGTTTGTCTACTTGACTAGGCTATAATAATATATGTGAAATTTATATAAATACGTGTTGATTTCCGTAATAGAATGATCTGTTGCCTGGCCCTTGTCTTCTGTTGTTACATATGCCAACTAGATCAATAAGACCTAAATACCAAACTGTCATTTTACTGGTTTTGGAATGGTCTTTTATTGGCGATGTGTTCCCTGATTCACCCAGCACACTTTAAATCAACTAGTTTACCCAAGTAGCTAAGTGGAATTCAAGTGTTGTGTATACTGCTCGGAGAGTCCCAGACTGGTGCTCATTTACCAATAGCTCTCTAGTTACCATTTTTAATTAAATTCCTTCTATGTAAAGAAGAAGTAAAGACGATCTGGTATTACACACAGTCTCTACTTTCTTAGTTTGTTAACTCGTGCTTTCTGCTTATACTTCTTTACCGCTCACCTTTAATCTTTTCCGGGACACTTAAGAAAGACTTTGTAATACTGAGGAGGGCACTAAAATCCATCAATAGGGTGAATAGGATATCGCTTAACCAACTCTTTAATACTGTTGTATATAGACTTTTGCAAGAAATTAGCAAATATAATCCTTTCAGACTCAGAGCATCTTCTTTATACCACACTCTCTCCTTAAATCCCATCAAGAAAAGGGACTAGAAGCGACCATAGAAGACTACATGCTTGGACAATCAAGTACAAAACTCAGCGAAACCTCAGTTGGCACACACTTTATGTGGTGAGAAAAGTGTAGAGAGGGATATTACCTACTTACAGAGGAACTCTGAAGAAACGGCCTTCTTTTTTAAGTTTTTCATCATCTTATTGTTGTTAGTATTTTTCAATCAAAATTTAATTTTATATTCATATTCTTTTTTGACAGTATTATTTATGAATGTGAATGCCCTGTAATGAGAAAACTAGATGCAATTCTGTACTAAATGCTGAAAATTCCAATTTTTTCATTTTAGCTTAATTCCAAACAGTACCTTTGCTACAAGTATGGAATTTCCAGCATGTGACACCGGTAGCCAAGATTTTGCAGACCAGCCATTGATATCAAGTGTGCGTCGGCAGCGGATCGAACCCCGGATCATGTGCATGGTTGGTGAGAGTCCTAACCACTGTGCCACCGATGCAGGAAGAAAGCTAATTGAAGCTGTTAATTCCCATGATTGTTTTAAAATTGATGTGAGTGATACATAAGCCAAGTCTGGTGTCAAGTAGCTTGGACTAATTCTTTCTCCTGGCCTATCCTGCTCTGCCCACGTCTTAGCGATTTCTAGTAAAATATCCCGTCTGACATTTTATATTAAGAAACTAAGGCACTCGGGTATTATTCAACCCCTCCTCTTACATTTTACCTATTCTTCTTTATTGTTCACCCTTATTCTTTCTAGAGTTGCTTAAGAAAGACTGTGTAGCAGACTTCGCAGAACTCTGAACACTGTTGGTAGGTGAGTGGTATCTTATCAGGCCATATCATTGACATCGCCATTGATAGGCACTTGATTTCATGCAACAAATTTGCTAGGGGGATTTTGTCCGACAGTGGGCATCCTTTTCGCCCGCAGCTTTCAACTTTCATCTCCTCAAGTAGAAAAGAAGTCTTTTAAGAGGACTTTACGCGCTCACACCTAAGTATTAAGATTACAAGGTATTATATTTGGTATGTGTTTTATGTGATGAAAATTGTGTCGGGTACGAACTAAATAACCTTCTTACCGCTAGTAAATAAACAATTTTCTGCATCCTTACACCATCAAATTTTATGGTTATCACTCCTATTATATTTGCATATCGTTGAGATAAGGCCAATCATTGGTTCATTTGTACAAGTTTACAAAACTTATGGCCAAAATGAACCAAATGAATAAGTAGGAACACCTAAATGTATTGCAATATTCTGTTTTGTCAATTGTCTCAAGATGACTTATGAATTCGGAAGATAATAACTCACGCAATCAGCCATAAAATGATCTTAAACTGTCGACTTTAGGAGCCAAGAGACAGGGAGCACCATCTGACCTACTTTTCATGCTTGTTGGCACTCGTCAGCAAGATGTATCTGAAACGTTGAGGGAAGTGTTGCCAACTCTTAGATTCGAAACCTCGTCCCTAAGTGTGGCATTCTAAGATTTTACCAGCGAGCTGTACAGGCCCACATTACACCTCTTATAGGACTGTTATGAATACAGTGATTTTTCACTAGACAGCAACCAGTGTCATGGATCTGATCCTTGAAACTAGTGATGACTGACTTCCACCTGCCAAGTTTTCGGTCTGGTTAACAAGGTGAGTGGCCGTAAGTAAAGAGTGTTTTTTAGTTGTTTGGAAGTAGCTGTATAGAAAGCCACACACGAAAGCTTCGTGTTTGTTGGCACCCATAAAAAACAATTTCCACACATATCACCAGATGTCTCCGACCATTTATTCATCGCATATTATTATTATTATACCCTTTAATTCCTAGACGAATATAGGGCTTCAGCTGCGCACCTCCATTGCCTTCGATTTTCGGCCAACTCTTTCACCCCGCTCCAAGTCTGCCCACATGCTTTCATCTCCTCTTTACATGACCTCCTCCAAGTCACCCTCACACTGACGACCAACTCGCCGCCTCCCTTTCGGGTTCCACTCGAGCGATGGCTTGTCTAGTGATGTCACTCACTTGATGGTTTCCTCAGCGTATGACCAGCCAATCCATCTCCATTTCTTCCTGCCTATATGTTTCACAATTGGTTCCTGCTGGGTTGGTTCGCTTATTGCCAGAGATCCCTGCTGCTGACTTTTTCTGGCCAGCCACCTGATTTTCAGTCGTACTGAGCAAAGACAACTGTTAATGAAGGTCTGTAGTTTGTTTGAGGTGCTCTTCATGACATGGCATCAAGTCTCTGATCTGTACGTATAGTGAGTAGCACTGACTTCACATTGAAGTTGAAAATCCGGATCTCATTTCCATTTTCATGCTGAGTGCTGTTGACCTCCACACAGACTTAAGAGTAATGAAAGCTTGTCTTGCTTTTCCGATTCTGGCTTTGATATCCTCGTCAGTTCCACCCGCCTGTAGTTGAAACGATGCTTCCCAGGTCGGTAGGTAAAGGAGGTTGTTTCTTTCAGGTTCCTCCCATTTATGCTGGCTGATTGTTGTCTGTTGTTGTTGTGGCTGTTGTTGTTGGCCAGGAATCTTCATCACCTCTGTTTTATCTATGTTCACTTGAAGCCCTATCTTCTCTGGATGCTTCTTCTATCGCCAACTTGTTGCTTTTCACTTGCATATCTTCCGGTTTGTGGGAGATCAGACACATATCATCGGCGAAGTCCAGATCCTCCAAGGTTTTCGTGAGGGTCCATTTTATGCCTGTTTCCTCATTACCCGTTGTCTGTCTCATTATCCAGTCTACTGCAGTCAGGAAGATTATTGGCGATAGTAGACAGCCTTGCCTCACTCTCATCCTCACTTCGAAGGATTCCGTAAGTTTCCCGTTGTGAATTACTTGGCATGCAGCATTGTCATCGCATATTAACAATTATTAAAGGTATTAACAACCTCGGAAAAAAGCCGGGAAAAAATCTGAAGCACCAAATGGAAACAATAAGAAAAACATAGCCAATCACCAGATTCTAGAAAGAGAAAACTAAGACATGGAATAGCACACTTAAAGCAACAGTAAATCTCCCCTTAAACAATAAAAAGGCTACGATGGCTGAATCAGAGGAAATAAAAAGATTACTTCAGTATTTATACATAAAACCGGAGAGTTAAAATGATGATTTATACATAATTCTGTAGACATTGCTGTGAAATATATGTGGGACTTATGTATCGAATGTTCTTCAAACGTACTCTTGAAGATATGTGTTTCTAAATAAAATTTATTTAAGTTAGGTACACTAACCCGATACATAATACGGAGTAGCACTTCAGGCAGAATGTTCATGCGTTGAAAAATGTTCAGAGTTTTCGGTGACTCTGTCAAATTGTTGTGGGACAATATACCAATAACTAATTCAAATGAATCATTAGGTCAGATTACCGTCCATAATATTATTCACTGACAGCGATTCTTTAAAGTAAGAAAAATATAGACCCTGTTCTGTGCGAAATGATATTTCTTTTTCCACATCTGAAAGATTAGACCAATACAAAGATGATTCACGCTGGGCTTTTATAATAGTTGTGTATAAAATGCCAACTATAATAGATGTAAAAACGCAGAGAACATCAATTCTGTCCATCTTCAGTTACAATTGAACGAAAACAGAGCACAATATTTAATTGTTCCATATTTTTATGCTTTCAAACAAACTTTTCAAAGTTCAACTAAATAGTATGAAATTGAGTAAATGAATCACTTGCTCAACTAGTCTTAGGATTTAAAAGCGGTGAGTTTCTATCTTCTTAAAATAGTAAGGCATACACAACGCCCGGAAAAAACACGTTAGTAGAAATTTGGGCAAGCTTAAACTTTAGACACCACTAACAACCGATCAGCAAACGACCTTGAACGGACCAATCACATTAAAGAGGCATATATGATGAATGGAAATCTATATTTATAGAAAAAAGCATTAAATAGAGAATAAAAAAGTTACATGGGATATCTTTCTCGAACATATGAGAGAAACATCTCCCAATTTAGCATGGGACTGTCAATGGAGAAGTTACACCATATCCTGTACATATATTCATCCAAATGACTATAAATGAGATCCTTTTGAGATCCCTTTATAGCCCTTGTCCTATTTTTCAACCTGCCCCAAAATCCTTCATTAGAATTTGTATGTGTCCTCGTAACGGGATCCACAAAATCACTTGAATGGTTGACTCTATGATGAATATATCCCAGAGATGACAGCGAATTGTAGCCTTTCCACTCGTCCGTGTGTATAATTGACCCCCGCTTAACAAGTCTGGTGATAATAGGTATTAAAGTAGTTGCTTTTCTTTCTGCTATCCTTTCGACGAATCCCTTTCGGACGGGGGTGTCATACAAACCTATTACCCAAATATTGTTCACTCGCTGGCGACCACGGTTGTATTTCTTTTTTACCAGCACTGTCTCATCGACACGCACGATAACGTCTTCCTCACCCAGCAAACAAGTGATTTTCTCCATTTTCCATGATGGGATGTCTCTGCAATCCTGGTACCACTGAACTGTTGAGACATGGCTATTCTCCATCTCGGCAGCTGCTGCTCTCACAGCCTGTTTCAACACCCATTAGTTGCAGATACACAAAATCTGGGTCAGGAAGAGAAGCGACCCAGCGAAAAAAATTCCTAAGAAATATTATTATTATCGGCTTACCCTCTCTGGTGTTAGTAGGAGGGAGGGTGGCGTTAGCTGATCAGTAGATATGGTGGGGGTCACTAAGGTGAATCGCCCCATTCTGCAGGAACAGCAATATACAAATTAAAGGCTCGAGATATTTCTGATTTTTATGAGGGCTTAGATCTTTATCTTGAAAAAGATAATAACGAACGCCTAAACAGATCATGCTTCTACCTTTAAATATATACTATTCGCCCAGCCTATTGTTGAGATGCGACCATGTGGGATGTGCACAGATTTATGGGGCATCTTATAAACTAACTTGCTGTCCATTGACTGATCTTTAAATACCACTTCACAATGTCTTATCTCATTCATTTTCCAATAACGTCTTTACTTGATCCTCATTATATCCCATTAAACCTAACATTTTACAGCTCTTTATGACTTATTATATTCCTACTCTCTGAAGGGTACGGTTGTGCACTAAATGCACAAAAAGGTATAAAACAAAAACAACTGGCACAACTGAGGATAAATGTATTAAAACCAAAAGTGGACATCATGATAGTACGAGATATACGTGTAGCATTATACATTGCAAATGAACGTTGTCAGCCTAGGGAGTTTATTTTATTAATGCATTTATTAATGATACTTGCACTTACCTATTTCATTACAATTTAATGATTCACCTCAGCACTTTTACTTTTCTAAAACAGCTTTCAATCCCTTGTAAACGTTGTACTTACCTCAATATTGGTTGGTTATCGTATGCCGACAACCACGGGATGAAAACGAAACGAAGTCGATTTTCCGGCTCAACCTGGAGGACAACTGTACAATTCAATAACTATACAGCCTAGTTCAGACAATGTGTATTTATATATATATATATATATATCAAATATTTAACTGTTGAAACATTATTAACTTGTAGACAATCTACGATTTGATATTATATCATACTTGATCGTGCCTGTAAAAATGGCATGCATTTTCATGTAAATTTATATGTTTATATGAGAATATACATTATTATTATTAGTAGTAGTAGTATGCTTCAAACATATAGCACAACGATGAACAAACCCATCAGTTGATTTGGTATAGCTTTTTAAAGTCATGATACCACCACACAAACATATCCGCCCTTTCCGAGTGGACTTATCCGGCATGTTGTTTGAAATTTCGCTAGGGAAAATTTTTTTCAATAATTTTCAATAAAATTTTGCTATATGTTTTCTGAATCCGCAGGAATTCTCATTTCCTGGCTAGTTATGTTGGTGTCCGTGTCATGTAATCTTACTGCGATACACTCTAAGCGTATGGGTTGTAACGATTAGTTTTTCATGCTGAATGAGTCAAAGCATCAGTATAATGAAAAAGATCGGGTAGTTGGAGGGTAGTGTCGTCTACACAAATAGTTTACTTCTTGTAGAGGCTGCAGCTTTCGAAATAATATCATTCAATGAAGACCACGTCTAAATGTGGCTATTTTCGTATGAAGAACAGTACTATTTGGTAAAAGAATGCTATCAGTACATAGGAATAACCTACAAATGCCAACATTACCTCCTGTGGGAACAGAAGTTATGATGTAGATGTGTCCCTCACTGTGTGTTTGGACAGGAATAATGGTAAGTTGAAAGGTTATCAATGAGTGGATTTAATATATATTTACACTGATTGACGCAGTATGATATGGGCTAGGTGATTTATATGTATAAAAGATACAGTCAATGTAGTTGAAGATTGAACGATCAATTCATTGTTGTTTGCTCAAAACCAACTTACCCAATTTTCGCGCAGGCATCAATACACCAGTCATCGTCTCATCGGTCGCTGTTCAGAAAGAAGTCAGACCAAAACTGTCAGAAGTAATATTGTGATTTATTATTGTAATATTTGTTCATAGACCTTAGTTAAAACTTAATTATAAAGCTGCCTATATGTTGGTGTTACAATAAAGAATTCTCGAGTCGCCAATCTGTGTTCTGGTTTTTGCGTCCGTTCGTACTAAGCGTTTCTAAGAAACTTCAAGGAACAGCGTGAGTCCCAGCGTAGCAAGAGCTGGGCATTGACGGTTTACGAGACGTGGCTGACAGTTTCTGACGGATTCGGACAGTTGGTGACAGTTTGGATAATCACCGTTCATCTTTCCTGGTGCCGGCCAAGTCTTCTTTGAACAAGCAATATCTGAAACATTTTTGGAATTGGGTCAAGTTCAACAATGCCTGGGTCAAAGAAGGGACAGGGCGTCTTGGATGCAAACAGGAAAGTAAGTCATGGTGACCTGTCTGTTACTTGTAACGATGTGTCTGATGTTAAGCATGACATGGTTGATGTTACTGTTCCGCCGTCCAGGGATAATAGGAACATCAAACTCCCTAAATTTGAACCACTGTGTTTCGACGGAAACCCGGCTGATTATTTACAGTTTGTAAGGGAATTTGAAATCATGTTGAGTGGTTTTTTATTAACTGATGAAATGAAGTTAATGTATTTGATGAGGTATTGCACTGGAGTTGCTTCAAGAGCTATACAGTGCTGTAAGCTCATGTTCCCTACTTAGGGATACTCTGAGGCCAGGAATATACTACGTCAAATGTTTGGAAGAACTTCGATGATTGTAGGGAAATTATTCGAGGCTGTTAAGGGTAATGGCAGTCAATTACAGGATGACTGCCAGGCACTCACTGAGTTATTGGGTGATCTGTTGACTTACAAGAATGTATTGATCTTGATGAATTGCATGAGTGACCTCAACTCGAGTTTTATACTAGAAGTAATAGCAAGACGCCTACCTACTCGACTGCAAAGGAAGTGGGTGAAGATAAGCTCCCGTATGGAGGATGAGGGTATCGAGCCAAAGTTTGATGATATTCTGAAACTGGTAAACGATAGTGTTAATCAAGCTATGAGCAAGTTTTCCAGTATATTGAATCTCACCCCTAGAATAGAGCAGTCTGAGAGCAAAATGCAATCATTGATGACGAATAGGCCTCAGAGAGGTGGATATCGAGAAGGCTCCATGATGTCTAGTAATGCATATAGACCTAGTGAGTGTAACAGGTTTCGTAGTACATCCTCAACAGATAAGTTGCAAGATGCAAGACAAACACGGTTGTGTTTTACACGTTTGCAAGAGGTGCATACAAGGGTGAACTGTGAACCAGTGAGCAAGTTTAGTGATAAGCTAAATGTGAAATCAAGGTCTGACTCCGAATTGTGTGACGATAACCGTGCGATCAAGAATTCCGTAGTTGCAACAGGTAAGCCATTGTTGAATAGAGTGTCGCAGAATACAGTTATTACTTCAGAGTGCAGTTCTGACCCTACAAGTTTACAAGGTATTACTAGTCAGAGTGAAGCTATGACATCTTTAGGGATTTCTCAGGAAGAACACAAATCATATACTGCTGTTATTAAAGAGTTTGAAAATGATGAAGTCGACCAGAAAGATGATGGTAAATTGAATATTTGTGATAATGATCATGATATTGCACATTTGTATTTGGTTGATCATGATGAAATGAGGGGAATGCCTACTACTGCCAAGTTGAATAAAGGTTCTGCACAACTACAATGTGAAGTAGAATTGAATGCAGACGCAGTTGCAGAAGGCATGCATAATTGTGAGACCGTCAGTGTAATTGATCAGCGTGTAGCCCATCTATCATCAGATGATAGTGCTGAACCCGAACTAGTAGTGAAAGACAGCAGTGGTGGTAATCTTAATAATAATAATAATGTATATTCTCATATAAACATATAAATTTACATGAAAATGCATGCCATTTTTACAGGCACGATCAAGTATGATATAATATCAAATCGTAGATTGTCTACAAGTTAATAATGTTTCAACAGTTAAATATTTGATATATATATATATAAATACACATTGTCTGAACTAGGCTGTATAGTTATTGAATTGTACAGTTGTCCTCCAGGTTGAGCCGGAAAATCGACTTCGTTTCGTTTTCATCCCGTGGTTGTCG